GGGGGGAGAGGAGTGTTATTGAGAGCTATTTTCTTCGTGACACATGTTGTCCTAATTCTGCATTTAAGCTGAAATTAGCATAGATGATGAATGTTTGCCCCCAACCGTCATGGAAACTACCCATCGGGGGCTCCAGTGGCTAAGTGAGCAGTGAGTTCAGACTCCAGAAATGTTGAGCAAGTGTCTGTGACACAGAGTTTAAGTGGGTGGTCACTGGGGTGTGTCCTTGAGCAAGACACGATAGCCCTAGCTAAAAAAAACAGGGTGCTGCACAGTGGCGAACGGCAATGGCATGGTTGTGAAATTGTTCTGTATTGGTGTAATATTGTGCATTTATGTATGTATTTGTGTATGTATTTGTGTATGTATTTATGTACGTATGTATTTTTAGAACTGGCCATCCTACCACAATATGCCGAGGCCCAGGCAGTTGTCTCACTAACAAGGCAATCCCCAATGCCCGGATCGGACACGGGAATAACTTTACTTTTTATGTAAATTTATAATTATGTATTTATGTACGTATGTATGTATGTGCCATTGTAAACCAAATTGCCCTTCTATGATCAATAAAAATGCAATTTATCTTATTTATTTTACTCATGCTTTGTCTCAATTTTGAAGAAAAAAAGGGCGGAGCAGGGTGTTTTTGATTAAACAAAATGCACTAAATGGCCGATATAAAGTAGTTGTTTTATTCAAATTGAAACTTAGAACAAATGCCATTATGATGAGAAGAAGATTTGGAAAGGGTGAGAGGTGGAGGATGAAAGAAGAGTAGGGGGGGGGAGGGAGAGAAAGAGAGACAGAGAGAGAGACAGAGAGAGAGAGAGAGAAAGAGAGAGAGAGAAAGAGAGAGAGAGAGAGAGGGGGGGGGGCAAAGAGAAAGATGTTCCCTTTAATTAAATTAGATATTTATTGTTTTGCTTCAGGCTATAACAATTTTGTAAATTCAGTATGCAACAAAAATAGATAGGCATTCATTATTTTATCTTGTACATTCAGTTAGCAACAGAAATAGGTAGGCATTCATTTTATCACTGAACTTATAGCACATGAACTTCCTTGACAGACAGCTGGTAACATTGATGTTCTACAGACTTCAACATAAGTTAAGGACCACTTGCAAATTTGGCTAAAATTCCCCCCCGAGGATTTCTGTGCTGCACGTAGCAGTTTTGGCCCTTTAGAAGACATTGCAGTACGCATTGTTAACCCATTAACACTTTCAGAGCAAAAAAATGTAAAACATTCCTTGCGTCTTTTTTTCGTAACTTTAAAAATCAGGGCTGTCTGTCAAGGTGGTCCTTAACTTATGTTTAAGCCTGTACTTTCTCACTAGACAGATACCAAAAAAAAAGTATCAACATTCTTTAACGAACCAGGAGGAGAAGAATAAACTCCATATTATTTTCACCTGATATGACCCTGTTCCATTGATGTTCACAGATTCCTGGATCCATTTTCCGCCACTGGAACTACTTATCATTAATTGTGGTGATCCTAGGTTACTGCTTTGCTTGACATAAACATTCAGATCTCTGAAGTTGTAACTTGTCATATACCAAAACCTGTACATTTGAAGGAAAAAGAGGAAAACATTGATTTTAAAAAGGAACAAAAATTAAGAAACAGAATAATATCATTTAAATTGTTATCGTCTTATTTTTTCAAAATTTTCTTTGTCAGTTTGATAGCTAATACATTCCAAATTAGAAAATTTAGAGAAATGCAATAACAATACCAGCAAGGAGGAGGAGGAGGAGGAGGAGGAGGAGGAGGAGGAGGAGGAGGAAGATATCGAAGGGGGTGGAGCAACTAGAAAAAAAGAATAGGAGAAAAATCACATGGAGAGCATTGATAAGAGAGTATGGCCAGCCATTGGAAAAAAGAGAAGGAACAAAAAAAAAACTGAAAAAAAGGAATGTAAAAGAAACTGCATAATACATGAAGAAATAAGTAAATATGAGACACCATAACACATAACCAGAGCACAGTGACCTTTTCCTTGTCACATAAAAATATAAAACTGTACTCCTTCTCAACATACATCAGAGACTTTATGTTTGCAGAGTTCATTGTTCCCTGTTCAACTTGTGTCACTTTGACAAAAAATGAAAATGCCACTTTCTGGAGGATAAGAAGAAAGAGCAGGTGGAGAAGGAGAGTACGATCAAGATTATGAAGCATTCTCTTTTCTGACAGTTTTGCTGCAAATACAGTTGTAATTTCCAGTTGTGAAATGGGAACCTTTATTTTTCTGGTCAATGTAGATTTTAAAGCTTCTCTACAAATGAAATTCAGCAGAGGTTAAATTACAGCTCTCCATCATGAACATTTTTACTTATTATTATCCCAGTAAACTTAGACACAAATTCAAGCTCTTTCAGTTATCCTTAAGGACCTTCTAGCAAAAGACAACGGAAAACAGCATCAGCTTACCGAAGACAGAGGGCTCCTTTCAAATTCATGACAGGACTAATCAGTTGTTTATTGTTTGCAGCAGACTTGAATGAGTAATAGATATAATGTCCAGCTGAAAAAAAATCACATGAGAAAAAGACAGGTTTGAGATCATAAGTCATTAAAATTATCAGCAAGTAACTGTCATTTTTTGGCAACAACTCTAGAAAAAAATTTCTTTAGCTTTACTTATCATACCACAGAAAAGAAATACCGTAACTTGAAAGGGAGTTGACATCCATCTTAAATTTTCTTTGAACAGATCAATAAGTTTCTTTTAGTACCCAGCACATGTGAAACAAAATCATTATGGGCATAGCAAAAGAGAGATAAAGTTAAAAAAATGACTTACATTTTTTTTGTTTTAGTAAAAATTTTACAACACTTAGAACACAGTTTGGGTGCGGTGACAGAGCGTTAGTGCGCTCATCTCCGAAGCAGAAAGTCCGGGTTTGAGCCTCGGTTTGGACACTGATTTTTTTCGCCCCCTCCTGCCCACCCAGCAGTAATGGGTACCTGACTTCGAGTGGAGAAGTAAAGGCGGCGAGGAAAGGAACTGGCCACCCTACCACAATATTATGCTGAAGGCACAGGAAGTTGTCTCATTAACAAGGCAATCCCCAATGTCCAGATCGGATGCAGGAACAACTTTACTTTTAACAACACAGTAAAGTCATATAAATACCAGAGATTAGAGGTGTTACAAGAGAGTAACAAACATAAAAAAGAATGAGGAGAGATAAGGACAACTGATGTTTGAGAGGAAAGAAGGAGCAAGCCACACCACAGCACCCACCAGCCACCCACTGACTCACATTTGTTAGCCATTAGTCTTATGTCCTATAATGTAGACACAACAAAAGAAACTGGTTCAAGTTTTCTGTTTTAAAAAAACAACAAAAAACAGCAAAACAGAAACAAAACACATCAAACAGAGCAAAGGAGAAGTATCTTATTATTACACAATTTGAAGGCCGCATGGAAACCTTGAAAAGAGTAGTCACAGAGAAAGGTGTACAGAAAGACAAGGAATAATATCAACAGACTATCCCAGGATAAGGAAAGATAGAAAGTGTTTGCTCATGGCGCTATACCCTGACGCTATACCCTGACGCTATACCCTGACGCAGGATGAGAAAGGTAGTTAGTAATGATTATTGTGGAATAATGTACATTACATAACTCTTCTGTAATAACTGTTAGGTAACGTATCGGGATTTAGACAGTACCTTTCTTCTACTTAGTAGTCACTTTTCGGTTACAGTGTACTAGAAGACGAGAATAAAACAAAGAGCCTTTTCAGACGAGCGTTTCTTCACTCTCTCTATATCTGCTGTACCCACAAACCAAACAATATTACAATGATGATGATGACATGATTTGGATGAACTTACCACCAGAATTTTTTGTGTGATCGGTGCGCGCAACGGGGATGGTGCTCTTGACTGCACCGGCCGTTTGACCCCACAGCCATCCATCGGTAGTGCTCGCAGGGTAGTTCTGCCACGCACACTTGCTTGTTTCAAAGTCACAATCAAAAGAGGTGGCAGCTGTTCACGCCAAGAGGGGTGGGGAGGGAGAGAGGAAAAAAAACTCTTGTTATTGGGTTTGCATGATCTGACAAGGATTCTTTTTCTTTTGTGCTGAGACGAGACTACATATTATACCTTTGTCCTACAATCGACAACAAATTGACCTTGCAAAATCAAGTGAACAATATCATTAAAAAGGTAAATCAGAAGCTGTATTTTCTGAGGAAACTAAGGTCCTTCAATCTGAATCCACCCATCCTTCAAATATTCTACGCCTCCACAAAAGAAACTCTGATCAATTTTGGTATATCTAGCCAGGGTAGCAATTTGGGGTAACAGCGCATCATAAAAATAAACAAGTTCATCAAAAAGGCATCAAGAACAATTGGTTGAGACAAAAATAATTTTGATTGTTCGTACAAGACAAATGTTCTGAAAATTGAGGAAATTACACTTAGTGACAATAGCCAACCACACTGACACTAGAATTTCAATTAGGACTTGCTGTAATCAACCTACTTCAAAGAAAGCAAGAACAAACAAATATTGAAATCCATTCGTACCAACAGCAGTGAGGTTACTGAACACACAGGGCTACAAATGAAACAGAGAGAGAGAAAGAGAGAGGGGGGGAGAGAGGGGGGGAGAGAGGGGGGAGAGAGGGGGGAGGGGGGAGAGAGAGAGAGAGAGAGAGAGAGAGAGAGAGAGAGAGAGAGAGAGAGAGAAAGAGAGAGAGAGAGAAAGAGAGAGAGAGAGAGAGAAAGGGAGAGAGAGAAGAAGGGGGTAGAGAGAACAGAGAGAAAGAGGGGAAGGGGGAAAGTAGAGACCAGAGAGAGAGAGGCATAAGTGCAACTGACCTTTATAACAACCACTACCACTGCCATTGCGAATGACCAAAACAAATTTTTCCCTGAGAGATGAATAAAAATTGTCATAGAGATTATCATTAGAAGAGCCTACTGTTAACTACCCCTAAGAACTCACAAGTGAAAGAAGGAGGAGGAGGAGGAGGAGGAGGAGGAGGAGGAGAAGGAGAAGAAGAAGAAAAAGAAGAAGAGGAAGAAAAAGAAGAGGAAGAGGAAGAGGAAGAAGAAGAAGAAGGGCAATAACAACAACAACAACAACAACAACAACAACAACAACAACAACAACAACAACAATAACTACAACACAAAAGTATGCTTACATGAAGTGAATGTTGAAATAGGAGCAGTTGGTGCCGGTGTTGAGACCGGCGTAGTGCTACCTCCATTAGGATCTGCACTTGGAGGCAGTAGAGAGCATGTGCTTCGGTAATAGTTGATATCATCAATGGCAATATCACTTTGGTAGCTTCCTCCCATGGTTCCAATAAAGAGAAGCTTTAAAGACAAACAAAAAAGTATGGTATTTTTCCTTTATCAAAGCAATCCTCTTTTTCAAATTTCAAGTTGTTTTTTTTCACTTGTTTCTCTAAATTGCAAGGACATTCGTAAAACAATCCAGAGGTTGTAAAACATGCAACAAAAAATAGTCATTCGACAAAATTTTGAGAGAATGCCATTTCAAATACACTAGAGGGTTTTAAACAAACAATGAAAGACGCGAAAGCCAAATATTAGCCTGAATTGTTTAGTGTGAGACATTCTGAGACGAGTCAGTAAAAGAGACGAGAAAGCAAAAGTATCAAAATGCGTAAATGGTGGAAATCATATCGAAAATGTTGTTTGTAAATGTTTCAATTGAATAAAAATGCTGTTGAACATTTTACGTGTACCTCATGAAAATATGTGTCAAAATACAATGGAAGCAGGTGCTCCTCAATCTTTTGGCATGTGGAGTTATTGGTATAATCTTAAAGCTTGTTCATTTGTCTATCTTTTAATGTAAAAAAAACATTTAACCCATATAAAAGTTGAGATGTTTGCAATTGAAGGAGGTAGGGGTCAGAAGTAAAATAAGGTAGAAAATAGCCCCCAAAGATTGGTGACTTCCAAAGCTTGAGAGTCCTTGGACACTGAAAAATTTACATTTTTGTGCTTTTGATCAATGTTTTTTAAGAAAAATCAACACAAACAAGTGATTTTAAAAGAAGATAAAAGATGATGAGACAAAAAACAAAATTCGATAAAAATTGCTGAACCAGTCGTAAAAGGTTTCTTCAATTTCATCATTTTGATGAGCACCTGATTTCACCGTGATGCCTCGCATATGTTTTGTCTCTGTGTCCAAGACTTCAGAGACACTTTATTACGTTTCCTTACCTTGAACTCATCAGAAGATGTTATGGGTATAAAACCAACATTCCAGTCAGTACTGGGTAAATTTTGCCCCAACTTCCACAGTGTTCTTCCTGGAAGTTTTCCTCCAACGACGTAGTTCACCTGCAGGCTGCCGATGCTAGTGCCCTTCATGCTAAACCAGAATCTGAGAGAAGTCATTTACAATTACCAATCTGATATATCCACCGCAAAGAAACTCATGTTCTCAAACTTAAGCCTATACAAACATAGAACTGTACAGACAAACACAGAACGCACAAACAAACATAGAACTGTACACACAAACATAGATCATACAAGCAAACATAGAACTGTACACACAAACATAGACCGCACAAACAAACATAGAACTGTACAGACAAACACAGACTACACAAACAAACATAGAACTGTACACACAAACATAGACCACACAAACAAACATAGAACTGTACACACAAACACACACTACACAAACAAACATAGAACTATACACATAAACATAGACCGCACAAACAAACATAGAACTGTACACACAAACACACACTACACAAACAAACATAGAACTGTACACACAAACATAGATCAGACAAACAAACATAGAACTGTACAGACAAACATAGATCAGACAAACAAACATAAAACTGTACCAACAAACATAGATCATACAAACATAGAACTGTACACACAAACATAGACCGCACAAACAAAATATAAAACTGTACACACAAACATAGAACCATGAAGGCAACCATAGAAAAAGGGAAATTTGACTATCTTCGTTGCTATTGAAAGATAATAATGGAACTACACAGGCAAAGTATTGCAAAACCATTTATTTTATAAATGTTGAATGGATGTTAGCCCAAAAGGTATGAACCCAAAGACAGCTCAATAAATCTATGAAAAACAATTGTCGCAAGGTTGTAAAAACCAAGCAAATTAAAGAATAAGGAACATGTTTTTCTACAATAACAAACATACAATAAATGCAAACTTACTTAAAGCAGTAGGTGCTGACCCCTGTTGCTGGCAAAGTAGTACTCAGGAGGTATGCCTTGTCACCAGAGCCTTGGTTGCTTGCCTCAGTGTAAATGTATGAACCTGAAATTTTATGATGTATTAACAGATCAAACGCAACCATTTTCATCATGAAAATGTTTTTTTTTACACAATCAGAAAAAGATCCCGTCCAAGAGAGGTGAAGTAAAACATAAAAAGAGAGACACTTGTTTTAGTTGAGATGATAGCAATATCTTTTCACGCCCAAAAATTGATGAGCTCTTAATTCAACCACTCCAAGACACATTTATTTCTGCCTCTACTTGCATAACCAGTCAACACATGTCTTTTCCTAAGGGTTCCAAATACATGTTATAATGAGTAAGCTTCGACGATGGACCCCGCACCACAAACAGTAACTTTAGAGCATAGAATATGTCTAATTACTATCCTTTCTTTAAAGAGTAATAACTTCGATGAGATGTAAAAAATTTAGAATAAGTTACAACAAAAATGAAACCTTGTTCATATCTTTGAGAAATATTTTGACATTGTTGTATCAGGCATTATAACACAAAGGGACACAGGAGGAGAAGGAGGAGGAGGAGAACGAGAACGAGAACAAGAACGAGAACGAGAACGAGAACGAGTAGAAGAAGAAGAAGAAGAAGAAGAAGAAGAAGAAGAAGAAGAAGAAGAAGAAGAAGAAGAAGAAGAAGAAGAAGAAGAAGAAGAAAAATGAGGACAAGTATGAGGACAAGTATGAGGACAAGGACGAGAATGATGAGGTCAGTGATGACAGTGATGACAAAGATGAGAAGGACGAGAAGAGAAGTATGCGCTTCGGTGAAATCCAACTCACCATTAACGGTGCCCTTGGTATGGTCTACTGATGGCCCAGTCCCAGTAGAACTAGTTGGACCTTGATTGACTGTCCAGTCAAAGTTGTCGCTGTTCAGGTTTGACCAGCTGCATATTGTCTTCATTTCAAAATTGCATGCAGCTGAAGAAATGAAAAATTATTTCAGAATTTAAGCGAGGTGCAAAAAAGAGCTAAAAGTTCAAACAAAGACTTCTTTTAAGAACACGCATAGTTCAGGACATTGGCAGCAAACAATTTATTATCAAATACACAGGACAACCCCCAACTCAAATGATGAACTAAATTCCCTGAGTAGAAGAAAACAAGTCACGATCTTTCGCCTGCGAACGCAACACATCCCACTAAATTCCTACCTTAATAGGATTCCCAAGGATACTCCACCCAACTGCCTGTTGTGCGACTGCCAGGATAAAACAGTACCACACCACCTCTTTAAGTGCCCTGCACTTTGCGACCTGCGTAGCACCTACCTACCTGCCTCCCCAGACATCGGAGATACTCTATACAGCGACAAAGCACAGCTGATTAAAACCTGTAAATTCTTTGCCATATCGACAGACCAAAGGGCTAGAACCCAAATGGCCACTGGATCGGAAAAGTAAATAAAGTAATTTATTATAAAATAGGCCTATAGTATAGACCATATGCGGGAAGAAAGGCAGTGGCAATGGATTGGACATATTCTCAGGAAGTCAGGCAGCTGTATAATAACGAAAGTGTTGGATTGGAACCCAGAGGGTAAAAGATTTGGAGGAAGACCACGTGGAACCTGGAGAAGAGTTACAAAAATTGAAGTACGGAAAAGTGGGAAAATGGAATAACATCAAGAGGCTAGTCTCAGGAAGGGAAAGGTGGAAAGTGTTTGTTTGTGGCCAATATCTGGATCCAGGGTGAGAAAGGCAATGATGATTGTGATAGTATAAACCATATGGATAGAGAATTCAGAGTACAGATAATGACTAAAAACAAACAAATGGATTTTATACTGTAACTGTAACTGGTTTCTTGAAAAAGTTCAGCAGGCAGCAGGCAAAAAAAAAAAAACCATTGCTTATGCGTAATTAACTACATGAATATTTAATTCATAGCTGAAAATGTTGCAATAACTGCCTATCCGTGTCCTGAAGAATACATTTTTTTTAGCACTAGAAGAACTACATTGGCAATAGTTTTAGACCACTCCAAAAAACAAGTCGACAAACAACATCAGGATCCTATTGTTGTGTCCTCGGGAAAGGCAATTTACACAAATTTTGCTCACTTCACTCAAGTGGGAATGGGTATCTAGCTATAGACAGCAAAAGATCCTTGTCAATTTGTTAGTGTTTAAGCGCGAGCAATCTGCAAGTTGCACTCTATTCTTCCTAGGAAGCTGAGAATATTAACTGAGTCTTCTAGGGTCTGCTGGGGTAATAATAATTGTTGCGTACATAGAGCACGCTGTAAAGCATAGATATGTGCTTTATATAGAGGCTATTATTAGCTTTTAGCTTTAGTAGAGGTTTTACAGCGCTCGCAACTGCATAAGGTCATTTGAGCGCCAGAAGATTAAAAGTGTTACAAGAAAGTAACGAACATAAAAAAGAACAAGGGGAGAAAAGGACGATAGATGTTTGATAGGAAAGACGGAGCAAAACACATGAGCACCCACCAACGACCCACTATTATTATCTTTATTATCATTCCCATTTGTTAAAATTATAGTTATTATTATTTTATATTATTATTATTATCATTAGTATCATGATTATGAATATTATTTTTTGTTTGTTTTGTTTTTATTGTCATGATTATTATTATTTTTGTTATTATTATTTTGTTATAATATTTATTTATTTTTTTAATTTAAAAAATAAAAAATTATCCTAGTTCTACATTTAGAGCTTAACAACTTAAATTATAAATATAAAAATAAAAAACTTACGTGGCCTCTGGCATCTTGAGTTTGTCACAGAAATATCATCAACAGCGATGACCCCTTGACCTCTACTGCCTACTACTCCTTCAAAGATAATCTGTCAGAGACAAAAAAAAGAGCACAATATCAGTTAATAGTACAACCATTAACCAACAGTTTTGTTAAAAAGAATATTTCAGCCATCAAAGTACACCCATTATATCAACTGTTATATTGAATTTCCATATAAAAGAAAAAAAATGTTAATCTTAAGTCCATAAAAATTTTGCCTGTCCTATATTATAACTCATTATCTCCGGCAAGCCACTCAATATCGGTGCCATAAAGTTCTCTTCGAGGACAACCCCTCCTCTCCCCTCCCCCCACCCCCCCTCCCTACCCCTTCATTTAAAAAAAAAAAAATGAAACATACATATTGTATATCGGTATTCAAGAGTTATATCCTGAAATCCCTTTAAAGCTCAGCTCACAGCCTTGAAGCAAACTGTATGCAAGGTATTCAAGATTTTTAAAATTTTAATTAAAACAAGCAGAGGTATTCATCTAAACATAACTTAGGTCCTTGAGAGAGAGAGTTGAAGTTGCACCTTTCCCTTCAACAAAAACAACTTGTTTTTCTTGGATGAGCAGTCACCACCCCTTATTCAAAGAGTAAAGACAAAATACAGGCTTATTGTTGCTTAATTTTCTCACAATTTTCCTGGTTTAATTAGATTTTTTTAAAGACAACTTTGACTACTATTACATCATAAAATTGGCAACTCTGAAGACTTTTTAAAATTTCCCCAGACTACCATACAAATTTAAGAAACCGGATTCAAAGATTTCTTTCGATGCTAAGAGAAATATTGTTTTCTATAAGACAATATCATCTATCAGTCACCCCTGAACAGCCTGCATCTGGCTACCAACATGGGTTTACTGGACAGCAAGATGAAGAGAGAAAAGGTTTAAAACGCCAGACACAGAGAAGACATGAATTGTCATGCCAAGCAACATTTTTTAATCTGAATCTAGAAAACCTGTAAACAATCTAATCACCTAATTTTTAGGAGATGTTCATAAAGACAGACTAAGTGAAGTTTCAGCCTAGCCACCTTTGATAAGACTTGCTCTGAAATTATGATTTAGTGATTGTCAGACCAGAAAAGTGTCCTACCTTGGAAGTGTTAGTCAGCGCTTGTGAAATCTGAACCTTATTCCAGCCTGTGCCTTGGTCGCTTGAGCGGGACCAGATATCGTACGCAGATCCAGTTCCTTGTTTCTTCACATTGAGGGTGCCCGTATTATTACCTCTCAAGAAATAGTAGAACTCAATGCAAAAGTCACCAGATGCTTTCGGATTCACGGGTGAGGCATAAAGAGCATTGTTCCCTTGGCTCTTTCCAGAAGTGTCAATGTAAAGGTACTGACCTGTAAGGAGACAGCATCAAGCAATGCATTGGTAATCACAGATTGGAATCTGCAGTTCTAAACGGGATGTGGCCAAAACATCTGTCAAAAAAATATGTTTTTGTAGAATCAGTCAGTTTACTTTAACTAGAACCTTAGCCAGGGAGCTACATGCATACAACGCAGAGACAACCAATTACAACTCAGTATTTATGTAGGCAATGTAAAAATAGATACAGGCTGGTCCTAATTACAACATGAGAAAATTTCCCCCGAAACACCATTTCATCAGAATTCACCCAAATTTCCTTTTTGCAGTCTGCCACACACAGCTTCTACAGTGGGAAGTTTATCTCAGGTGAATGCCACCCAAGTCTTTGTACATCAATAAAACAGAACTAAATAGGAAGCAGAACAAAACATGTGTCACAACGTGGTGGAATCAAGCACTCATAAATTTTGGGGCATATGGAGTGATTGGTATCACTCTATCTTCAAAATAAGTCGAGATATTTTGGATTGAAGGAGGTGGGGGTCACCTGGTTTCAGAGATAAAATTAGCGAGAAAATGGCCACAAAATTTGGTGACATCCAAAGTTTGAGAGTCCTTGGAAACTGTAAATTTGCATTTTTTGTGCCTTTAATCAACATTTTTCAGATAATTCAAAACTGTAATGTGTTTTTACATGGACATAAACGGTGTTGAGCTAAAAAATTAAATTTCAATAAAAGTTGCCAAATTGAAAGGAAAGTGCTGTTTTCTCCAATTTCATTGTTTTGACGTACGCCTGAATTCATCATGATGTCTCACGGTGAGATTAACTTCCTAATGTAAGATTCCAGCATATGCCATTTTGATAAACGATGTTTTGACATAGTCTTCCACTGAACGCTCAAGATGTGAACTAAATCAACAGACATGAAGAGAAACATTGAATGAACAGAAGGACACTGAGGTGTGGCATGAGAGACATGAACTCACCACTGTTGGTCCCTGCGGTGTGGTCAGTAGAAGGCCCAGAGCTGACTGTAGCTGAGCCAGAATGAATCTGCCAGTCCATGGAGTCACCTTGCTGATTTTGATAAGCACATGGGATCTCAAATGTGCAGGACAAGCTTGTGACACCTACACCTTTGAGAAAAATTTCAAAAACTCCTTTCAATTCACTAATTAAAGTAAAATCACACTTGTGAAATGGTCAAATACACAATTAGATAATTTAAGAGGCGGGACCTCCAAGATTAACGTCCATTAGCCCTTTTGTGACACAGGTCAGTTCGTGCTTAACAAGGCACAGCTTTGGAACCTCTGAGACAATTAATAATAATAATAATAATAATAAATAGCATTTGTATAGCGCTTATCCCCGCTCAACAGCAGGCTCTATGCGCTTTACACTATATTATTACCCCAGCAGACCATAGAACACTCCAAAACATTCTCAGCTTCCCGGGAAGCATACAGTGCAAGCAGCTGATTAAGCGCTCAAACACTAACAAACTGATAAGATCTTTCACTGTCTATAGTCGGGTACCCATTCCCACCTGGGTGAAGTGAGGAAAATTCGTGTAAAGTGCCTTTCCCAAGGACACAACATCGGGTCCCTGACGGGATTCGAACCCACGACCTTACTGTTGCGAGTCCAAGAGCCTAACCACCAGGCCACCAACGCCACTTTTGAGTAGCGCTAGATTTAGTGGCTGGTCACCAATAATTAGACCTGGTTTGTAAATACTTCTATCTCTAGAAGGAATAGATTTCTCTCTACAGAAAAAATATAGCTGAAGGTGAATCTGCAATTAGTTTCAAGAAATGCATCTAACAGAAGCAGTATGCAGGTACAGCCTATGATGAACGGCAGTCATCATCATGGTCTTCCCACTTCGCAAGGCATGACAAACTTCATACGTCACAGAAGCATCTTGTCTCCTTCGCCGTAACAAAAAAAAAAATGACAAACCACATACATCACCTAGATCACAAAGGGGTTCAAACACACTGGAATTTAACATAAGCATAACAGGAGGAAAGAGGCAGGGTCCATTTAAAATACAAGGGGAAGATTTTAATACTTTGGAAGTTATGAAGTGCCAAGCTTTCATGCCAAGACTTCTCAAAATCACCCAAATGTAACCCTGCCTTTTTATCCCCTCGTAATCTACAAGTGTTTAGCATTATTTATTTTATCAATTTTTCTAGTTATTTTAGTACGTTTATGCACTAGACATCCCAGCAGAGCCACATTACCTCAGCGAGAAGGAGACAGTGTGGAAACCATGAATGAAACTTTCCGTTAAAATATTTTACCTGCACAATCTCCATCAGAGAGTTGAATGTCATCAATAGCAATATCTCCTGTAAAGGAAGTGCCTTGAGTTGCAGAGATCTCAAGCTGTTAAAGAGAAATCAGAAGGGCAGAAAAATAACCAAACTATTTAAATTTATACATAAAATGTGCACATAGAATACAAGAATTTTCAAAGTGAATTCATTTTCATAAAAACGACTTATAAGCCATATAATATACACTCTATCCTACTATAACAGCCACCTGCAGTAGACAATCATCAGTATAAACAACCACTCCCCATTCCCTCCCTTTTATAAATGTTTACATTATAATGACACTGTGTAAGATGTCTATCTGTTTAAAACAACAGTTTTTCTCCTTTATAATGAATGGCCGTTTTAGACAACTTCAACTGTGCATTTTATATATATATACAGTGGAGTCCACTTAAAATGAAATCTGTGGGACCACCAAATTATTTTTTATTTAGCCGAGTTTTCAGTTTAGAATGGCTGCTCAAATAGAAGTTTAAAAATTGGGGATTTTATTGTTCTTTACAATTTACCACTGTTTTTAGGTTAACTGCGTTTAGTTTAAGCGGACTCACTGATCAACGTTTATTTTTGGCCTCATTAACCCTCATGAAGCCCCCACCTTTTGGGAAAAGCTCATTCATAAATATATATGTACACACATGAGGAAATAACTATGTATGTGTGTGTGTGTTTGTGTGTGTGTGTGTGTGTGTGTGTGCATGTTTGTGTGTGTGTGTGTGTGTGTGTGTGTGTGTGTGTGTGTGTGTACATACCTTCATGCATGAGTGTGTGTGTGTATGTGTGTGCGTGTGTGTGTGTGTGTATACATACCTTCATGCATGAGTGTGTGTGTGTGTGTGTGTGTGTGTGTGTGTGTGTGTGTGTGAGTGTGCGTATGTGTGTGTGTACATACCTTCATGCATAAGTGTGTGTGTTTGTATGTGTTGGCGTGCGTGTGTGTGTGTGTGTGTGTGTGTTTTTTTGTTTTTTTTTGTAAAGGGTTTTATGGCGCTCGCAACTGCATAGGTCATATGAGCGCGCGGGACACTCCTAATATTTTCAGTTGGTAGGAAATTTTGAATTTTGCTCGGGTGGCAGCCGAAGCCTACTCTTATCGATTTTAGACCACCAAGGGATCTTTAACGTGCGCAACTTGCACACAGGCCCTCCGAGATTTTTCGCCCTTGTCCAAGAAGGCTACGTGTAGATCTTTCCTACCAGAAGATCAGGGGTGTGGCAGAAAGACAGCAGTTAGGAGGAACCAAGGAGTAGCAGTAGAAAGGCTGCAGAAAGAGTCAGGAGCCCAGAGGAGGGGGCAAAGGAGGTGAGGGGGTGGGGGCAGAAAGTGGAAATGAAAGCAGACAACAGAACATTGTTAGAGATCAGGAAAGGATGTGAAAGGAGACAATTTTAGAGAAGAAAATGTTTTGGTCGCTACCCGGAATCGAACCCGGGACCTTTGAATGAGAGGCCAACACCTAAACCTCTAGGCCACGAGAGCCCCCTGTGTGTGTGTGTGTGTGTGTGTGTGTGTGTGTGTGTGTGTGTGTGTGTGTGTGTGTGTGTGTGTGTGTGTGTGTGTGTGTGTGTGTGAGTGTGCGTGTGTGTGTGAGTGTATTTACCTTCTTGCATGAGTGTGTGTGTTTGTATGTGTTGGCGTGCGTGTGTGTGTGTGCGTGTGTGTGTGTGTGTGTGTGTGTGTGTGTGTGTGTGTGTGTGTGTGTGTGTGTGTGTGTGTGTGTGTGTGTGTGTGTGTGTGTGCGTGCACGTGTGTGAAGTGTGTGTGCGTGCGTGTGTGCATACGTGCATGCATGTGTGCCTGCGTGTTTGTGTGTGTGTTTAAATATAGTGAAAGTGTCAAAAAGGAACCAACCGTGAACTGTGTAGGAGCAGAATTATCCAGATCATATGTAATCTTTTTCCACCCAGGACCTTGGTTCCCATGCTTAACCCAAATTGTATTCCGTGAGCCAGATGACACGGTGGACACTTTAAGTTCATTCACCGAAGCTCCATACATAGAATACCTGTAACAAGATTAAGAAACCACAGATTAAGGTTAAATACTAAACGCAATATTACTGAGTCAATATACTGAAAGGGGACAAATACTATAGGCAATATCATTGAGAAAAAGGTAAAATACTCTACGACATATCTTTACAAGTCAGTGAAAATGGACAAATATTACAAGTGGAATACCATTAACAAATCATCAAAAATGGAGAATTATTACATGTAACATCATTAACAAATCATGAAAAATGGACAATATACGTAACCTCATCAACACAAACTGTAAAGGGACAAATATTACATGCAATATCGAGAACGAGGAAAAAAAGAAAAAAAAACGTGTAATATCATTAATAAGGAAACTAAAAAGGGACTAATCAGCTTGCAAAATCATTAACAAATGATTGTAAAGTGACAATTACTTTACATTACATAATTAAGAAAGCCTTGTAATGGAATAATGCTACAAAGTTTAGAAGAAGCTTCCTGTACATCTATAATTCTTCCAGCACTGTAAACCTTATTATGTTTGGGTCCTTACTTTTCTTTGTAAAAGGAAGAATGTAAATACATTTAAAAAAAGGTCGTTTCAAGTTTAGAAAACACAAAACATATAGACAGAATCAACAGCAAGAAAGGAAAGAAGGGGAACTTATTACTGGTGCCCTCAAACCATGCAGTCTAAATTCGAATTTTGATTGTTTCCCGTTTTTTCCAAAAATCCACAAAAGTTAACAAAATACTTTTGATAATTATTATACATTCTTGTATATTTCCATAAGGCTATAAATGTTCTCCTGTCTAGGTTATAAGGCATAAAAGAACAAGATTAAACACTGTCGACACAAGAGGGGGAAGGAAAAAACATGTGTAACGTACAAAATTGAAGACCTGAGAAAAACACCAAGGTCAAGTCACATTTAGTTGATTTCCGGAAAATGAGCCAAAAACCTAATTCGTGAAACACATTCAAGATGGTTCCGATCAGAGGGCTTAAAAAGACTTTTTATTGGACTTGACCTTGCTGTTGCATTTAGCCTTTGCATTTTTGGACAAGAATAACTGGACCTAGGAAGAGAATAGCGCTTTGCCAGTGCTACTAATAGATAGTCCTTTGTCGGATGACATGCAGATCTCTATTTTTAGGAAAATGTGACTTAACCTTGTTGTTGCTCTCAGGTCTTCAATTGTTTAGACAATCTCATTATTACATACCACATTGAGAAACACTTTGTTGAACCTGTAGGCCTTGAAATTTGTGCACTAGTTAAAACTGCTTTATCGCCATAGTTGTAAGAACTGGTTTCAATGTACATGTAATAGCCAAATCCTGCGGACAAATATATGAACAATATAATATCATTATCCAGACGCATTATCTAATCTGTGTCTAAAAAAAATTATTTTAAAAAAGAGGACCCATCTAAAGAGCAATAATTTGATCTTTTTGACATCTTTTTCAATAAACCGTCAAACAAACATCGTCAAATTTGTCAATATGAACACCCTTCTGTTTAACTCATTCGCTACGCTGAGCTGTGGGGGGGGGGGCGGCTAAAGTGCCGTCAGTACGCTAAGCCGCCCCCGGCGGCTCGAGAACCGACGTTCAATTTTAGCTTGGTTTCTATTCCAATCCACATATCCATGTTAAAATAAAGGTCACAATATAATGTTGAATTCAGGGTCAAGCGTTTCCATCGAAAATCGGAAGTTTTGATTCAGTTTTGAAACACGATTTCGAAGTTTATGCGACATTGTTTTATCGCGAAACCCAAATTATAGCCAAGACTTCAATCTTAGTACTTTTACACAACAAAATGTATCATTATTTTGCTCACTTAAGAAATGTAGGACTCTTCTTTATAATATTGATACTATTGAACTCAAATTGCCAGTGTACTGTAATTGAGAAATCAATATTTTTGAGTACTAGATCAAGGCCTAGAGCTAAATAGTCAAAATATTTTTTTATCGCCAAAATCACTACTTTTTGGGGAAAGTACTCAAAAAGTACCACTCAAGACATGTATAGGTTTATTTCAAATGCAATTCTGAATAATTCCATATAAGATACGAGTGTTTTTTTCCGTTTGTGATCCTTTTTCAAAATTATTTTTAAAATTATTTTTTATTTCAATATCGGATGTTATGATCCAAATGTACAAATATTATGGAATGTATGTAAATAACTGCACTTTTTTCAATATTTTCCTGTTCTATATACAGTTATGGTTATTTTGATGCATCATTTGACTAGGTGCAAACATATTTTTAGAGTTTCACCTGAGATTATTAATTTTTTATTTTCAAATTTTATCCGCAGCCAATCACAATTGTGTTGCATAATTGCCTCTTACAGGAACCAAAGTTGAAAAATACGCAAATAAACAATACAGATGTATTCTACAAACCATACTGAAAATGTTGGTATATAATATGTTGATATTTACTTGAATTTATGGCCCCAAGGACCTGTGAACTGTGCACTAGTCATCATCTCATTTCGCCCTCCCAAAAAAAATTCGTCCACAAGCCGAAAATAATACGTAGCGAATGAGTTAATTTATCCCACCCCCTCTAATGGCGGTGGTCTAGTGGTTAGGCTGTTGGGTTCACAACTAAAAGGTTGTGGGTTCAAACTCCGTCAGGGGCTTAATGTTGTGTCCCTGAGAAAGGCACTTTACACGTATTTTCCTCATTTCATTCAGGTGGTAATTGTAATAGACTGTGAAAGATTTCATCAGATAGTGTTTTATCATGTGTAACCTGCAGCAAGCACTATATTGATTACTGTAATTCTCTCCTTGCCAATTTAAGTTTGAAAATGACTAACAGACTGCAGTAGCTACAAAAGAGAGCTGCGCATTTTGTCTTTAAAAAATCCCCAAAACAACACATAACACATTTATTGATAAAGTTACACTGGCTACCAGTAAAAGCAAGAATTGATTATAGAATAGTTCTTTTATGTGACAAATGCATAAACAACAAGGTACCACAATATCTTAATAGAGTCATATACAATTGAGTCATATATATATATATATATGCCAACAAGATATTTGAGATCTGCAGATGACATATATGTGAGACAGCGTGGTGAAATCAGGCACTCGTCAAACTAACGAAATTTGAGAAAAAGGCATTTTTCCAGCAGTTTGGAAAGTTTTATCGAATTTTTATTTTTTGCCTTAACCTCTTTAAGGTCCATATAAAAATACATTTCAATGTAAATTTTACTGAAAAACATTGATGAAAGGCATAAAATATGTCATTTTGCTGTTTTCAAAGCCTCTTTAGCTATTGGAGTTACCAAACTTTGACGGCTATTTTCTCGCTAATTTTAGCATTGAAACCAGGCAACCTCACTTCCTTCAATCGCAAATATCTTGAATTCTATTCAAGATAAATGGATATTTATTTCACTGGAATAAAGGCGAATAAATCAGCTTTCAAATGATATCAATAATTCCACATGCCCAAAAATTGACAAACTCCTGATTCCACTGAATCACGACACACATGTCACAAATGAATGAACAATAAGGCCCCACAATATCCTAAAGGTCTAACTGAGTGTGCCATCAAGATATCTGAGATCTGCAGATGGTAATCTCATGAAAGTACCCACTGTAAAATTAAATAAGCGGAGTGAAAGAGATTTTTCTTCTTAGGTCCCTAAAATTTGGAATTCCTTCCCCAAAGAAATTGTCATAATTATAGATTCTAACACCACAGACAGTTTACGAAAAGTCCAAGATTGTGCGTGTGTGTGCGCACGTGTGTGTGTGTGTGTGTGTGTGTGTGTGTTGTGTGTGTGTGTGTGTGTGTGTGTGTGTGTGTGTGTGTGTGTGTGTGTGTGTGTGTGTGTGTGTGTGTGTGTGTGTGTGTGTGTGTGTGTGTGTGTGTGTGTGTGTGTGTGCATGCGAGCATGCATGTATGGGATTATGCACTAAATGAATTATTTCCATTACTATTATTATTAATATTATCGTCATCATTACTACTATCATTATCCTTATGCCTCCCAAGAAACTGAGAACGTTTTTTGAGGGTTTTAGGACCTGCTGGGGATATATTATAGATTTCAAACGGCAGAGAGCTTTGCTGTTGGGTGGGGACATATGCTATATAAATGCTACTTATTATTTATCATTATTAATTAATTAATTAATTAATTAATTAATTAATTAATTAATTAATTAATTAATTAATTAATTAATTATTAATAGATAATAATAATAATTACACCATATCTTGATGTGGGTCAACTCTGGATTATAAACTTCTTTAACCTACCAGTCGTGTGATCTCTTGTTGGACCTGTGCTAGTAGAAGATGTCCCATATGTGTTCCTCCTCCAGTCAAAGTCATCATTTTGGTTCTGAGACCATCCACAAGTGTTGGACTCAAAGTCACAAGAGACGCTTTGACCTGTTATAAAAATAGGCCTACATGTTAATGAGTTAATATATTACCCGAGCCCAAACATAAAAAGAATAATTTCCAAAAAAATAATGAAACAAAGTGATATCACAAAGAGCACAACTTTTCATTGTAGAACAAAAAACTAACACCTATACAGACTTTAAAAATTTTGAGTCAGCATCATGAAATTAGGCACACGTCTGAAAAATGTAATCGAAGAAATCGGCATATTCTGCCATTTTGGCAATTTTTAATGAAATTTGTTTTCTGGCTCAACAACTTTTAAGTTGATTTAAAACACAATTCTGAGCGGATTTTTTTGAAAAAACATTGATTAAAGGCACAGAAATGTAAATTTTCTGTTTCTGAGGACTCTCAAGCTATAAAATTCACCAAACTTAGGTGGCAATTTTCTTCATAATTTTACCTCTGAAATTATGCGACCCTCACCTCCTTCAAGCATAAATATCTTGACTTCTATTCAATATCTATAGGCCAATAGATGGATATTTTTTCATCAAAAGCAAGAAAATGAACAAGCTTTAAGATGATATCAATAACTCCACATCCCCAAACATTGATGAGAACCTGATTCCACTGCGTCGTGACACAATTACTTTAACAAGTTTCACAACTGCCTGTCCGAAAATCGCAGGCGCTATACCGGCACCAGTGTTGAGTATATATGTCATGACACAATAAAATCAGACTCTCGTCAGTTTTTGGCCTTATGGAGTTATTGATATCATCATGAGGCGTGTAGCGCGTTCATTTTTCTTGCTTTGAATGAAAAAAAAACCATCTATCTTGAATAGAAGTCGAGATATTCATGATTGAATGAGGCAGGGGGTCACTCAGTTTCAGGGGTAAAATTATAGATAAAATGGCCACCAAAGTTTGGTGAGTTCAATAGCTTGAGAATCCTTAAAAACTGAAAACTTATATTTTGACACCTTTTATCGACATTTTTCAGTAAAATCAACACAGAAATGTGTTCTCAAATGAACATAAAAGGTGATGAGCCGAAAAACAAAAGACAAAAATTTGATAGAAACTGTTAAATCTGCTGGAAAAATTCCATTTTCTTTTATTCCACTACAATGCCTCACATATGACTCAGCTTCTTCATGAGCCCACACATCTAGCAGAACATAGACGTGTCTTGGTCATTAGATAAGATAAAGTAAGATAAGATAAGATAAGATATGCTAAGATGAGATAGGACCATACAAAATCAGATAAGATAAGATAAGATATTACTTTATTGTCCCAGAGGAACTTTGTTCTTGACTCTACAGGACCCTAAAAACACAATGTCATGCAGGTATACATACAAATTAAATGATATATTACTCTCATAAAAATTCAATACGAAAAGAAAGTAAAGCTGACAAAAAGTACATTTAACATCAGATGCATCTTTCAACCACATGCAGGAATTTAATTACAAGACCTTTACAGTTATATAGATACATACTCAAAAAAGCAATACACATTGATGTTTATTCTGACAGTAATAACCAAAATGGCAAGAGATATTTTTAGCATCTTTCTATCTTTGTATTTAGAGGTACATATCTGCGTCATCTTACAATTTGTCTGGAAAGGGGGTGTGATGGGTCGTTTACAAAGCTGTTGATCTTTTTTATACTTGTGATCTTAGGCCAACACATTTCATCAATTCTAGTCAAATAATATCCAGAGACATATTACAAGACAATCTGACACCATCTTCAAACAGATCAGAGTTTCGAACAAACATCCAACCACCACACAGTTTTTTGGGGACCTTGACATGCCAAAACCAAGTTAAGGAACCTAAACAAAATATTGAAAAATTAGTGAGTGTGCCTGGAGAAAGGTCCAAGTAGTCAGCACAGTTATTTTTGAGCAACAGGGTGAATGGGCAACAAAAGTCATAGCTGGTTAAAAAATTAAGTTCCATCAGAAAAAACATGTTTTACCATTGCTTACTAACATATTGAAAGGATTTATACTACTTTAAGTCTAAATATTTTTAATTAGTTATTTTTGCAACGTGTTGTACATGTACTTCATCAAAGATTATAAAATAAGCTAGAAATTTGGTTTTTCACCAAACTTTGTTTTAACATTCAGTGTTACAAAATGAGGCATGCCTTTAAAACTACTCAGGATACTTCTAAAATTTTAAAAAATCAGCATGTTCAGCATTAAATTTGTTACATGAATATGCTCTGATTTCAGTATCCAAGTGACAAAATCAAAATCAAGCATCGTAACTTCTATGACCAACCAGCAGGTAGTGAGCACTGACTGGTCTAACCAAACAGTATCAGTAGGTAGCGTAAACACGGCCTTGCGGGCACTCGCGGCCTTCTGAGCGCGTGGTATTGGTAAGATCGGGGTAATTCAGATCACTGTTTCTTTGCTCTTTCGCTATAAAACACCAAATGCTGTACACCCTGTCAAAGTTCTGCTTTTCCTCATTACAATGGTGCTGGAGAATCGCCGAGGAAAGCGAAGCCCCTCGTGGTCGGAATGCGTAGTCGGCCGGTTCAAAAAGTGACACACATGCATTCAAATGCTTCTCGGAAAGATTCATGATCAAATACCGTCTTTTCATTGGCGGAGAACTGTAGAGCTTTGAATGGGCTTTCCCATGGTATATTTTTGGTGTTTAAATAGAAAGCCTTTAAAAATGCTGTCAAAGTTTTTAAAGATCATTTTTTACACGAAATATGTAAAATACCGGCTCAAAAAAGATATCAGAAGAAAGATCAGTTTATTTTCTATTAGAATAAAGTAATCGTCTTGGTACAATTTTTCATCAATCCTTCCGCGAAACCCAGAAAGCATGTGGTCCCACACGGGGAGCCCTCGGTACACAACAGCATGTGGTCCCACACGCTCGCCGCAAGGGGGGGGGGGGGGTGCCGGCTGGGTCAACGCTCAGTGTTTTTGTTGAAATAATGACAGATCATCGTGTTTGTGGCGATAAAATACTGATTTGTAATGATCTTACAGTCTTTAAAAAAATTAGGCTCCATATCTATGTTATAGTTATTGTACTCATTAATGTGGAGATGTTTGGTGAACCTGGTACCCTTCTATTATCTGTCAAACATGGGGTTGCAGCCAGTGAGCGACTTTAACAAATTTGACCAAATTTTAAAAAGCTACCATTTTCTTAAAATCAACTGAGATGTTAAAGAAAGGCATTACAATTCTCAGGAGATATTGGCCTTTCATACGGAACGGATTCATTTGGCATATAGCTACTTTGAAAATTTAGTTTCTGGTACCTAGTATCAGAGATGGTCAAGATCCAGTTGCTTTGCTTTTTTTCAGAAAAACTATAGGCCTCTCAGAAAATTATCTGTTACTGTACTGTGACATTTTTGACCTGTTATATGGTTTCCAGTAGCCAGAATATTCTCAGCCAACCATAAAATGTCCCTATTGATCAAATGGTTGCTCAAACTATTTATAAAATAGAACTTTGCTTCCAAAAACCTGTACATTTTCTGAAAGTACATTAAATGAGGAACATTATGTGCACAGGCTTTTGGTTTTTGAACTGAGAGGACCTTTCAAGACCTTCTTCCTATTCGTCATATTTAAAATTGCACCGAGGTGCACCAAAAACCACTTTTTGGGGGATAAATGTCGAAAATGTCGACTTCTTTTAGTCTCAAATGATAAACCATTACTATATTATAACATTTGGGATGTAATCTGGGTCAATTTTGTAAACAAAAACGTTGGTGTCATTTATCAATATTTTGGCCCCTTCAAACATTACAAAGGAATTGAAAATGGTGGAAAATGAAAGTCGTACTTCTGAATATAATGGAACAGCTTCATACAAAAAAGCATAAACGAGTATGTCGTCATATTAAATGTTCCAGCAACTAATTATATCAGCCCAGGACAGTCCAACACGACGATTGTTGAGGGCTTATTTAAGAAAGTCTAAAAGAATAAAGGTCAGGGTCATGGGAATAACCAAAAAATGTCATTACCTGAAGGAGTGGAAGACGGTTTTCCAGTGGTGCTTGATGTTGGGCTTGAATTGACCAGGTTAGGGGGAAGGGTCACAGCACCAAAAGTTGGCCTTGCCTTTGTAGGGGACACTGAAAAAAAATCCATCGCAACCAATGAATCAAATTTTCTGGAAAAGTTAAGCGGCAAAGTGTCCATTTCTTCTTTTTCATTAATTTGATGAGCACCTGATTTCATCATGATGCCACATTTATCATAGCGATCCTGTCGAAGATGTCCACCTCTTTAAGACAACCACTTTCCTTCTCGACGATAGATGGCCATCTCGGACTACTTCGACTGTCTTACTTTCTTTGGTAGCAGCTATATTGAAAAACTAATCTCAATACAGCAGATTGGTCATTGCAATGACAGTTCCAGTATCTTAAATAGGCTTTTATGATAATAAGATAACAATAAATCACACTTGTATTGTCCATTTTCATCCCCAAGAGATAGATATTCAATGTGCAACCCAATAAAAAAAAATCACATAATGTATATCGTACACATGCACAATCCATGTAGAGAGAAAACTTCCACTAAAAAAATTACACACTGCTCAAACATACTTGTACACTGATGAATATCCACCATAGCTCTAAACCGTTTATCTGTAGGAGAACAGTGCAAATTTTAGCGAGCCGTTTTTTCAAGAGAATTTTAGGACCGGAGATCAGACATCCAGGAAATGAGCTGACAGTCTTATAAACAATACAATCCGAACAGCAAATACTTTTCATCTTCAAGTGCAAAATCTGAAACAGACATCGGAGATCATGGTTCACCACTTATTTCTCTGCTCAGAAACTCGTAACAAAATCAATTGATTATCCTGGGCTTCTCCTACCACTCATCAGTTTCAAAATTAAGTAAGTTTTAATTCGATGAACACTTTTGAAATTATTTAATAAAAATGTTTATATTTTCACTACCTGACATAATGATGAACACTTCTGAAATTATTCAATAAATATATTTATATTTTCACTATCCGACATAGGGATGAACACTTTTGAAATTATTTAACAAAACTGTTTATATTGGTTGTCATGGGAAGGTTCAAGGCATCATTTAAGATAAGGTTAGATAAATCTTTTTATTGTCCAGACATTGGCACATTGGCATGCACGCATGCACACACACACACACATATATATACACACCCCTTCATGTATACACATGCATGCGCACCGACATCCATACACACCAACTCTCTCACACATGCACGCATGCACGCATGCACACATGCATACACGCACACATGCACACACACACACACACACACACACACACACACACACAAACACGCACACGTACCATCGCAAGAAGCAGCACCATCAAATGTGATATCATCAAGTGCGATGTCTCCATCCCAATTGCTTCCTCTTTTGCCTTCAAATATCACCTGCAAAAAGAGACAAGAAAAACCCAGTGGGTTTAGTTTTACCAATGCTTCTCACCTGTGTGAGAGATGAGTGTGGATTCAGTGTCATGGCTATGAGTCATCATTATGTGTAAAGTGAACACTGTGGTTTGATACAGTCAGTTGAAGAAACTAAAATTTGCACTTCCCCTAAGTTATAGTTACAGGTTATAAAAAAACACAACATTGCGTTTGAGAACAACATGACATGTACTTGGCTGGCTCGCCCAAAGAGCCAAGAATTCTGTGGACGTGTGTCATTCTCCTCCTCCTCCTCCTCCTCCTCATCCAAACCTTCCCTCCCTCTATTCCTCTTTACTCTGGCTGACCCTGACAGACAGGGCTGAAGCAGCCCATCTTAAAATGAGCAGCCTAAATTATCTAAATTGTGGTCAGTGGGTGTGTGGTAAAACGTCTACAGCTTCAAATTATTATAGATGCACCAAACACACATTGCAGGCCTACATATGTGAGGTGTGCTGACAAAATTAGTTGCTTCTCACAATCCACATATGGAGATATTGGCCAAAAATCAACACTTGGGTCAAATTGAGACATTGGCCAAAAATCGACACTTGGGTCAAATTTGTAGATTTTCTATTTATGCCATATTTTTAAACTATACCATGCCTTTCATTATTTTATACTCATAAATTGTAAAAGCTTCACCTATAAGCGTGATGTATTTACATGAGACTTGAATCTGAGAAGTAGCTCCTTTTGCCAGCACACTTCACATATCACATTGTGTGTATCTAGCTTACGATTATTATTGTTTATATTGCTGCTCATTTACATTATGTATGTGATTGTAAGCCTACTTGTGGTCATGTGCGTGCACGTGTGTACATGTGTGTGTTTGTGTGTGTGTGTGTGTGTGTGTGTGTGTGTGCATGTGTGTGTGTGTGTGTGTACTCGTGGTGGAACACCAAACCAATGTGCCAGGATCTGGACAATAAAGATGTATCTTATCTTATCTTATCTTATTAATCTTACCTGGTAGCTATCAGTCTGAGGTGGGATCTTGGCTGAAGCGGGAAGCCAGTCCGTCCCCTGTTGTCCTTGGAGTGACCAGATAGGCAAGAGGCTACCATCACTGTACTGAGACACCCATACGTTCAAAGTACCGATAGTGTTGCCATGCATATTGTACCAAAAGTGCAAGCAAGAGGGTAAGGTAGAGTTCAGGTCCTGACTCACAAATCTAGCAGTGTCACCTTGCACACGAGGACTCGAAGCATCGATGAACACATACTGACCTGAAAAAATGTACCAATATGAGAGTGTTATGACAGTGACAAAAGTTAATGGAACTACAGTGCCATTTCGCATTCAAAATGCCTGTATCTCGAACATTAGCAAGTAAATATTTACACTGAGATTTACGGTCATCAGTATTACCAAACTATAATACAGATTATTACAACGAATAGAAGAAAAGAGTTGAAAGTTTTACAAGGCAAAGCTTTGATATACAGTCAAAATTGTCTAAGATGACCGTTCATTCCTGAGGAGAAAAATGGTTGTCTTAGACAGGTCGAAGTCTTCGACAGTGACATAACATTCATGTTAACTTTACTTTTACCTATGCTTCAGCACAGAATGACAATTCAGTTCATGACAGCAGCAATAAGAACACATTTTTAACTCTTTAAAGATGTAACCCCCTGAGATGGGGAAAACACACATCTCCAAAATTTGAAAGTCAGCCCAAAAACAGCATTCTGAAGGAGAACATACATCTTTTGAAAACGTTCACCTCACCTGAGGAATTCTTCAACGTGTGGTCATTCACTGGCCCCGTGTTATAGGACCCAGTCGTTCTGCTGGTCCTCTGCCAATCAAACTGATCATGAACAACATCATTGGTCCATGAACAATAGCCAGTGTCAAAGTTGCAGTTGCCTGTGAGAATAACACAGATTGAGCCAGTCAAAAGATACCTCACTTTTCTAATAAAAGCTAAAAAAGTAAAAGAATAATTCTAATTGTCCCCCGCCTTCCACAAAAAGATGTTTTCTTTAAATGATATAAAGCAGCAGTGACAACTTGATAGAATACATTTTTAGCTCAACTGTTTTGATCCTCCTCTCAGCACTTTAATTGACACCAATCTTTTAGATCTGCAAAGGCTCGAATCCTCACAAGTCAGAAGAGAGGGTACCTGATTGTCCTAGATGAGAAATCACTTTGATCTTTGATGTGGTGCCCATTGGCAGGATTGGTTTGGCTTGTTTCGGTTTGGTCTGGTCATCGGGGCTAGCCATATTTTCCTCCATGAAGGAGCAAAAGGTACTATAATCGGTACCAACTGAACTAAACCGACAATGGCTTTCGAAAACAGATGCTTTTGTTTTCAAGGCCGTGAGTCACGTGATCAGTTAATTTACACTGAAGCCATCAGAGACCAATTAATCAAACTGATCATCCTATGGGTACCGCCTATTACATGACAAAAACAATGAGATTTGCACAGCAAATAAAGACTCTAAAATCTTCACTGTAATCAATGATAAACCTTTGACCGAAGCAAATTTAAAACCTCAGAATTTTTATTTCCTCCCTCTACACCTTGATAGTGTAGTGACTTAGTCACACGACACTTGCAAGAAAAGTAGTCCAGTTAAAACAGTGTTGTATTATTGTTAATGAGCACATGTGTATATAAGGCGCTTATGAATAAACTTTAATTTGTCTCTACTTAGTTCACAACTCGATGTTCTGTCAAGTCTCTACAATAGTATCAAGAAAACCGGTCCATACAGCTCCTCTCATGGCTGACCATCTCTATGTAGGATAAGAAAACTCCACTACAGAACTTCTAGGTAGGGAAAAGCTTACAAGGCTTACAGCTCTTTTGGTGAGAGAATTTTCAAATTTTTTGGCCCTTAAATCAGGAACTCCTTGCCCCAGGACCTCAAAGAAATAACAAATCTAGATACATTTAAGTGATTGCTCAACTCATTTGCTTAATTTTTAGTTGCAGAGTATTAGTAAGTGCTGATATGTTTTGTTACTGCTGTCCTTGCATGTATATAATTAATGCATGATTGTGAAAGTTCCTCTTTATGTGGTCGAACTGATTTTTTTGTTACTGTGAAATGTTTCATCTTTTGTGAATGAAGTATTATGCTCAGTGAAAATGTTATCAATGAAAAGCGCTCAGAGCTTAAACTCGTATGATATAGACCGCTATATAAATGCAATCTATCTTTATTTTTATTATTATTATGATCTTAAGGTCTGAGGATCACACACAGAAATAAGAGTGCATATGCAACATACATCAATCTCCAATATATTCACACAGAAACTGCAGAAATCAATTCTCAACAGAAAATAGTACCTCCCTTGCCCAACACTGAAATTATTGTGAAGCAGAAAGTTTTTCACGTGTGGTGCACAGTACTTAAAATGTTTGTTTTTTTTTAATTTAAAAAATTGTTCAAATCTAGTAAGTGAACAGAAAAAAAAATTTTTTTAAAATAACAGAGGATTTACCTGGGTGAGCACAGCTTGTATCGGACACTAGTACATCATCAATGGCAATGTCGCCATAAGCAGATGAGCCTCTCACTGCCTCAAACACAATTGTGAACGGAGCATTGCTGGACGGAATGCTCACCGAAGCCTCTTTCCAGTCGGCGCCTTGATGATCTGTGTAAAGCAAAATAAACAGTGGGTGATGCCACGAGGCAGGGGTAGGCCACAAGAGATATGGAGATGTGTGGAAAGGGACATGAGAGAGGGGAAGCTCACTAGGAACGAGCTTGGAAGGATGGCCCAGGATAGAGATAAATGGAAGGAGCTTGTATGTGGCCTATACCCTGCCAGGGGTGAAAGGCATTGATGATGATGCCTGTGCTGCTAACAAGGAAAGCGAAAGTGTGAGCACCTAAACATTTCGAATACACTCATGTACCTCTTCATGGAAATACTGACCGAATACATTTTATCTGTATAAATCAATCATGAGTAAAAATTTGTATCACAACGCAGAGGAATAAGGTGCTCATCAATTGTTCGGCACATGGAGCAATGAGTGGTCTTAAAACCTGTTCACCTGCCAATCCTTTGGGGAAAAAAAATACCCTTCTCTTTTGAATAGAAGTCAAGATTATGTGGCGTCGGTGGCCTAGTGGTTAGGCTCTCGGACTCGCAACCGTAAGGTCGTGGGTTCGAATCCCATCAAGGGCCCGACGTTGTGTCCTTGGGAAAGGCACTTTACACGAATTTTCCTCACTTCACCCAGGTGGGAATGGGTACCCGGCTATAGACAGCGAAAGATCTTGTCAGTTTGTTAGTGTTTGAGCGCTTAATCGGCTGCTCGCACTGTATGCTTCCCAGGAAGCTGAGAATGTTTCGGAGTGTACTATGGTCTGCTGGGGTAATAATATAGTGTAAAGCGCATAGAGCCTGCTGTTGAGCGGGGATATGCGGTATACAAATGCTATCTATTATTATTATTATTATTGTGAATGAAGAGGAGGGGATTGGCCGGTGTTAGAAGTAAATCTAGCAAGAAAATGGCCCCAAAGTTTGATGACATCCAAAGTTGTAGTGTCCTTGAAAACTCCAAATTTTTCTTGTACCTCTGATCAAAGTTTTTCAGTAAACTCAAAACAGAAATGTGCTTTTAAATGGAAATGAAAGGAGTTAAGCCAAATAGAAAAAACAAGTTGACTAAAATTGCCCTATCATCATTATTATTATTATTATTATTATTATTATTATTATTATTATTATTATTATTATTATTATTATTATTATTATTATTATTATTATTATTATTATTATTATTATTATTATTATTATTATTATTATTATTATGATCTTAAGGTCTGAGGGTCACACACAGAAATAAGAATGCATATGCAACATACATCAACCTCGAATATATTCACACAGAAACAGCAAAAATCATTTCTCAACAGAAAATATTGTGAAGCAGAAAGTCTTTCATGTGTGGTGCACAGCACTTTTTAAAAAATTGTTCAAATCCAGCAAGTGAACAGTAAAAAAATTTTTTTTAATTTCGTGCTTAGTTTTGAGTAAAAAGAAGCACATCAGCACATTAACATAAAAAAGTCCTTTAGTGCTAAGAAAAAGCAAGACCAATTAAAAACAACATATTGATAGTAAAAGGTTAACAGAAAAGTAGGATTTACCAGTGTCAGCCTCCTGCAACACATCCGGTCAGAGTATTTAAAACAAAACAGACACAGAGCGGCTTAAACAATCTTGAAAGCAGATTGGTACCAAAAAAATGAAGAAGTAGAGGAAGACACTTTGTAGAGAAAGAAAATAAGGCAGTAAGATAAAATGCAAACTCATTAAACTGGGAATACAGCAGGTCATATTGCTCCTCAAAATTTGCTTTTATGCCAAATAATATATAGGAAGGAGTGGACGATACTTTGAACAAAATGAAAAGAAGACAGTAAGATAAACGGCAAACTCATTCAACTGGGAATACAGCAAGTCATAATGCTCCACAAAATTGGCTTATATGCCAAATAATATATAGGAAGGAGTGGACGATACTTTGAACAAAATGAAAAGAAGACAGTAAGATAAACGGCAAACTCATTAAACTGGGAATACAGCAAGTCATAATGCTCCACAAAATTGACTTTTAGGCCAAAGAATAGCTTAACAGAGCATTCAATTTTCTGACCATGACGAGTCCAGGCTGCAGTTCCCATCACTCCTCCTTTTTTGACATAGACGTTGAGGGAACCAATTCCATTTCCATGCATGTTGTACCAGAAATTCAAGCAAACAGATTTAGAAGGGTTTGCTGGAATCGTAGAACTCTCCAGTCTTGCTTTATCTCCAGAAACTCGAGGGGATGAAGCCTCTGCATACATGTAGTAGCCTAAAAACAAAGTGAAACATCCATGATTATTTCTGCTAAATCAGATATCAGATTGAAAATGTATTAGAATGGGCTCTTCTTCAGAAGGACCTCAAGCTAATAAGTTCTTGGTTTGTTTGGTGTTTTTGTTTTTGTTTTTTTGTTGTTGTTTTTTTTTGGGGGGGGAGGTAATGATGTACATCCATCAAAAACAGAGGTTCAGGGGAGAAGCATAATTTGTTCACTACAAATTAGTAATTTGTAGGGGGGATTTGCTTCATCAGCATAATCTTGCATGTGACCTAATCCCCAAAGTCTAACCCAGAGAGGCTAGGCCAAATCTTGCCAACCTGGTGATAACATCCGCTAGTGGGCGATTTGTAAATTTTGGTGGGGAGTCATGGGCGGTGGGGATCACCTGGATAGTGACAGGTATAATTTATTGCTTCATTCACAGGAATACATGCTGCATTGTATTCAGACGACCTGGTTATTTGGTGCTCTGAGGAATTTGTCACCACTGCCACATATCGCATGCAATTAGCACTGGACAGAATCACTACATGGACAAAAACCTGGTGTGTAACCGTAAACAAAGAAAAGTCTTCTGCTACACTCTTCACTCTCCGCCAGGCTGAGCCTAAAAACATCACATTGGACACCCCCCCCCCCCCCCCCCCCCAAAGTTAGAGAATTAACAGAAGTACCTTGTATCTTGGAATAATCTTTGACAAGCGTCTCACATGGACACAACACATTCAGAAAGCAGAAACTAAAGCCAGGAAAAAGCTTAATAAAACATCATGAGATAGAGAGGTGGAGAGGTCAAAGCGTGATGATATGGGACGCAATCGGTATTAATCAAAGACTGGGTCCCATAATCTTCCAAAATTTAGGACCTGGACGTGGCAACAGAGTGACGGCACAGAGCTACATCAACAAAGTCCTGCAGCCTCATGTTGCTTCATTTTTCCAGAGACATCAAAACCACCTCTTTCAGCAGGAAAAAGCCCAGCCTCATACAGCACGTGCTACTCAGCAGTTCCTGGTGCAGAACAACATACCCACCATGCCTCACCCACCCCAATCACCAGATGTAAACCCTTCTGAGGCGTCTCAACCAACTCCAGACCATACCCCGGACAGCTGCACAACTGGGTGCTGCTATTCTTCAGGGGTGGGTTCAGGTCCCCAACTGCCAAATCAATCGCTTGGTCCACTCTATGCACCTCCGATGCACTGCTGTCATCAATGCTAAAGGGGGCCATACCAGATACTGACTGGTACTTATAACAAAATCTGTTCCCAAGCAAATCCCCAACTCTCAAGCATTGTTTTGTGCAATTTGAGACACTTCAAACCTGTTTCTCTAAATACAAATATTGCTTCAATTTACTCTCCTCTTCTTGTGTCATGTGAATTCACATTACTTTTGCCGGTAAGTATATATCCGTTCAACAGCAAGCTTTATGTGGCTGTATTAACTTTCTTGAGCCTATTCCTCAGTATTTATGGGACGCACCGCCGGCCTGGTGGCCTAATCCCATGTATATATAAGGGATGAGCTTTATCGATCAATTTCTCAGCTGTTTTTTGGTTGCAAGCTACGGGAAGCAGGAAGCCAACAGTTGACCAACTCGTTTCATTTTACTACAATTTTGGTAAAGTTATAAGAGATACCTTATGAGCTGTAACGGACTACATCAGTCACCCCACATATTGCAATAGATGATTTTATTATATTTTGAACACAAAAAAATGGCATAACCCCCAGTCATTGCCATTTCTAAATACTGATCAAATAAAAACTATTTGGACAAATTAGATACAGCTTTCTTTTTCTATGAGAGCATTTCTTTCTTTCTTTTGTTTCTTTTTTAAAATGATGATAGCTTTCAGTCTTTTTGAGGTCAACAATTCAATATACCCCCAAATTGTCAGGCTGCAATGGTTGTTGGGTGAAAAATAACTATAACTCAAGTGAGTCAACTATACTAAACCCACACTCACATTTATATTATACCAGTGGCACCAGTGACAAGTCCCTTTCATAATCTCCACGCACAGCCATTATTAGAATCTCCAGCCTGATGAGGAGTGTAGCCTACATGTATAGTGCAGACATGCAGCACTGTCATAACATTAAAAAAGTAGAACTCCAAGACTGGGTCCCATAGTCCTTCAAAATTTAGGACCTGGACATGGCACACCCACACACACACACAAAAACACAAACACACAAACACACACACACACACACACACACACACACACACACACACACACACACACAAACACAAACACACACAACTAAAGTTCTGATAGAAGAGTGATCTCACTCACAACCTCTCATGGCCATGACAGCCTGATTCCAACCTAAGAAAAGAAGGTTGGCCAGCTTTTACTGTTAACCCAATCCGTACGCCCTGGGGTCATTTTGTACCCCCGGGGTTGTATTCTTCATATTTTAGAATACTTCTAGTATGAAGATCTCTTTAAAACTTTCAGTATTTCTCAAAAAAATCATTTTGACAGACTGCTATGCAAAGCGTACGGATTGGATTAACGAGTAAATTTCCTCTTGGAAAGTGGTGGCACAGAGTTCCCCACGTCGTGCGGATACGATAGTAAAACACAAAGAGCGGATAGGGTTAAGTAAGCTTACCGAAAGCAGTGTTTTTTGTGTGGTCAGCGGATGGCCCAGTGCCATAGGATGAAGTTCCACCATTATGCCTGACCCAATCAAAATCATCCGTTGTGTCCTGTCTAAAAGAGCACAGGTCACTCTCGAAAGTACAGACTACATTTGTAGCACCAGAGGGACCAGGACTTGGAGTAACTGAAGAAAGAGAGAGAAAAATGAGGTTAGCATCAAGCTGAGCTCATTTTGTAATGTCAGTGCCCCTGAATAAATTAATTTTTGTTTATTTGTTTGTTTGTTTGTTTGTTTGTTTGTTTGAGTAAAGAGAAGCACATCAGCACAATAATGGTCGTTTAGTGGTGGGAAAAAGTAAGACAGACAGATAGAAACAACAGAGGGAAAGTAAAAGTTATGTTGTAATAACAGTGCAGTGCATCCATTACCTGTTACCTGTATTACCTGTCCTGGGCAACAACGTCATTGCACACCGGACAGGTCCATAAGTGCTCAGTTCTCCCCAGCACCAAAGCCCGCAAGGTATCCATACTGATTGTTCCAGTGGCTGTCTGATTATGGCGATGTCTTTCCTTTCCAGATAATCGTTCCTTTCTTCCTTCTCCCCTCTCTATCCCCATTTCCCGCATCTTAATGATTGCGTGGTGTTATGCTGTCTCCTTGTCTTCTTCATCCCTCAACTTTTTCTCCAGGGTCTCCAACACTTCTCCGTTGTCAAATTTCACCTCACCATCAACTACGGCACTGCCTGCCAGCCTATCAGCCTCCTCATTGCCTTTCACTCCAGAGTGCCCAGGACATCCATTAGATTGAGGGGGTAAAAATGTGTACACATCCCCATCAATTTCTAAGCCATTACCTACCGTTTCCCTCATAGGGTTACATGAAACCGCTCCACATTGACCAAAAAAATGAAAAACAGTACTCTGATCCAAAAATGCATTTTGTATTTCAACTAAAGTTACGCTTGTTAGTCTTTCAGGCAGTTCAAAAGTCATTGGCACAACTATTTTTATTTATGTCTTTTAAATCTTTAACCCATTCACTGTTGAAACGTTTCCATCAACATCTGTACAGACAAGATAAAATGTTAATTCAAGGAATATGTAAACAGAGGATTGTTTCAGAATAAGAAAAATCATAAGCTGTAACTATACCAACTAAAATCTCTATGGTCAGCCTGATGAAATAACATACGTGGAGAACACAAGCCAGAACATACGTCTACTCAGCAGTGAAGAGGTTAATATGAGGGATTAAGGTTTTTTTTTTACTTTGCTCATGCACCCAGCTTTTATAACCCTGTTTTTCTCCAATTTTCAAATGTGCAAGGGACCTGCAAGTTTTTATTCCTCATCCAAGAGAGCTTTTTGTACTTTATTCCATCTACAACCCTACCCTGGATTCAAAAGGGAGGAAAACCTGGCAAAATTAGAGGCGAGGACCTTACTTCTGCTAAGACAAAATTTCTGCTTCTAACCTACTGGTACCAATAAATTTAAGAAAGTACAATGACTGAATTGAATGCCAAACACCGAATTGCTTTAAATTGTGTTGATGAGGGCATAAAACAATCCTTTTAAAAAAACAAATTCACAGCATACCTGATGAGCATGTTCCAGTGTTGAGTTTGATGTCATCCAATGCAATGTCACCCATATAGCCGCTACCTCGAACAGCCTCAAATACAACCTGGAAGTAACCAAAAAAGAATAATCGATGACTTGGCATTCAAGATAGAGCTTTTTCATTTCTTCACATTTTTTAATCTTGGAAAATTGCTTCTGAAAAATTTTTAGTCATTGAACAGCTCAAAAGGAGACTACGTGTAGGCATTTTTTCCGTCAAGGAGGAGGCACAGTAAGAAAATTACATTTCACTTCCCACCTTAGTCACTCACAGACTTTGCATCTAACTGACGGTATCTGACAATGTGGAAGAAAATCAACACATCAAATTGGTACTATTTCAGCTGATGCCAAGTTTTTGTAAGTTTGACTTGTACTTTATCATTTCATATAATAAAATTCACAAACTTAACTTATAAATTATTTGACTTCTCTATGTATGTCCACAGGGCTAAAATCCGACATGTAAATCATTTTGTCAGCATACCTAACATATTATATTACATGTACAACGTGCAATAGTCCCACAATCAATATCTAGTCCAGCACGCACATAGCCAGATCAGTGGGACGCAGATCTTTTTGATATTTTCAAATTTTGCTGTGTACAGGTTGTAAATACAATGAATATACATTATTATTATGTCTCATGACCCGGTGGAATCAGGCGCTTGTCACTTTTTGTGAACGTAGAGTCATTGGTATAACTTTAAAATTTGTTCATTTGCTTGCTTTCCAAAATAAAATACCCATCGATCTTGAATAGAAGTCGAGATATTTGTAATTGACGTAGATGGGGGTCATCTAGTTTCGGAGGTAATATAAGCGAAAAAAATGGTCACATAAGTTTGGTACTTTCTATAGCATGAAAGTCCATGAAAACTGAAAGTTTACATGTTTTGTGCCTTTAGTCAACATTTTTCAGTAAAGTTCACATGGAAATGTGTTGTTTTATAGACATAAAAGGCGTTGAGCAAAAAAAAAAAAAAATTCGATGAAACTTACCAAACTAATACAAAAATGCCTCTTTCTTCTATTTCAATATTTTGACGAAGGCCTCATTTCACACCAGATGCCCCACATATAAGAAAATATTTTGAACATGACAATCATTTTGCTATGTGCCTATTTCAATACCTGTGTGTTCATTATGTGCATGCAAGACTGTATTTTCCAATCAAGTTTTAAAAACACTATTGCTAGTTACCATAAGAAATCTTATATTCAATAACTGTATTCTCTATTAATTACTCATCTGAATTTGTTTGTAATTACCGGTAATAATTTATCTGATAACTGTATGGGTTTTACACTATTTTCAACACAGTAAGGTTATTTAAGAGGCAGGACTTCTAAATTCCACATCAGTCTCTGATAACACCAAGCGCAGTAAATGAATGAGCCTGGAAAACTCCGCAATACAACTAATATTCAAGAGCTCCCCACTGAGAATTCGAACTAGGGCATTCTGCATGACAGCCCAGCTAACAGGAGTGCCCTGTTTGCATGTGTGTTTATATATATATACGCAAAACAAAATAGACAGAGCAGCCTACCTGGAAATCAATTGGTACTGAAATGTCCACTGAGGCAGAAACCCACTGGCTACCCTGTGTACCATGCCTGAACCACAGTGCTGAAGGGAGCGTAGTGCCAGTCTTAGTGTATACGTTCAGGTTATCCACATCTTGTCCATTCATGTTGAAATAAAATCTGAGTAGGTTCGGATAAAAACAGCATTAATTAAACTCTTCTGTCAAAAGGACAACAACGAAATCAATAAATAGTTAACCAGTGAACTTAATTCTCACATCTATGATTACCATAGACAGCAAATAGAATTTTTTCTCCTTTCGCTTTTTAATGAAATTTGATGACATAGTTCATGAAGAGTGACCAAAGGGGGGAGTGGGAGGGGGGGTTACAAAGGATGAATTTCTCATTCTACCACATCATGACTAAGCCCAAGGTTGATTTTTTATTTTGTAATGCAGTTTCTTGATCTGTGGTATCACTGCATAATATGCTCGAGAAATATTTTGTTGAAATTCAAATTCTAAATGTTGAAGAAAGTGAGAAAAAATACATAATTTAGATTCCAGGTACAGTTCTTTAAAGAATGAAACATTCTCTCTCTAATTTTTTTTTTTAATTCACCCCCCTGCGGCTGTGCTACTAACTGAAGTGTCTTTAGACCATTCCCAAAGGGGGGACATTAACATGTTCTTTGCTCAGTAAAATTGTAAATGGGCTGATTCATCAATGTCATACTCATAACTGTGGCTGAACTGCAACGCGGAACTGCTGCTTTTTCTATCCTAATCCTTACTATCGTCATTTTTCTCTACTTCTTTTTTATGTTGTCACACTCGTGTGACCCACTATTTCCAGGTCCAGGGTGCTTTGATAGTCGAAGCAGACTTTGTGCTGTTGAAGCTAGGGAGGTGAGCAGAGTAAGCCTGATTCCCTGTAAGGACTTATCTGTTGACATAGACCCCTTGGCACTCATATGACTTTATGCAGTTGCAAGCGCCGTAAAACTCTACTAAAAAAAAAATTTTCAAGTCTGTTTTCTGGGATGAGAACAGTTGAACATCTGGCAGACAACATGTGTTAGGAGCTCATCAATTTTTGAGGCACGTGGAGTTACTGGTGTTATCTAAAAGCTTATTCATTTTTCTTGCTTTCAATGAAAAAAACTACCTATCTATTTTAAATAGAATTCCAGATATTTGTGATTGAAGGTGTGGTCACCTAGTTTCAGTGGTATAATTAGCGAGGAAATGGCCGTCAAAGTTTGGTAACTTCAATAGCTTGAGAGTCTTTGAAAACAGTAAAATTACATGTTTTATGCCTTTAATAAACGTGTTTCAGTCAAAATTCACACGCATATGTGTTTTTATATAGACATAAAGGGTGTTGGACCAAAAAACAAACAAACATTTTTTAAAGCCAACTGGCAGAAAAATGCCTGTTTCTTCAATTTCAGTATTTTGATGATTGCTTGATTTCAAAATGATGCCTCACGTATATAATGTTTGTTATAAGACCACCAACTCCGCCTAGTAAGTTCGAAAAAGAAAAAGGAAATCTATAGGGAAAATTTTGACAGATTATGTATTTCAGTAGAGCTTGTATAAGAAGAAGAAGAAAAGCCTCTTAGGCAACCATCTAAAAAAAAAATACAAACAAAAAAGTGTACCATGACAAAAAAGCTCAAACAGCAGCCAACTATGGAAAAAGATAACAAGCAAATTGAAATGACTTTTGCCTCAGATGCCTTGAAGACTAAAAACTTACTGGAGACAGTAAGTGCCAGCAGTCACTTTGGGGCTTAATATTCTTGCTTTGTCACCAGAACTTTTAGAAGAGGCTTCCATGTAGATGTAACCACCAGCTGAAAAAAAACAACAACAATAAAACATTAATCATTCTCCGCAGACAAATAAGAGATATGCCAATCTAAAGTCTCTTCCTCAAGTCTCTAAACTTCTTACAAACGCTGTTAAGTTCAACATTTTGCTTTTGTCAAAGCGCGTCCAATACAACTTCATGCAGTGCAAAGTTTAACCCTAGCTACAAAGAAAACTTTACATTGGGAGCTTAGAAATAGTATGGCATTGTTTGTTCGAAAATATCAGTTCACGAGCAACTGTTCTCATTTCATTGAATACAGATTTCTCTGCAAATATCAATATAAATGCAATATCTTTCTTTCAGTCCTTACTTTACACAAATGTCCTTGAGGAGAGCAATAAGTTAGTATGTGATTTTTTTCCTTCTTTTTTTTGCCATATCTCACAGCATCAGCCCCACCATGAACCCCCAAAGTGTGCCCAGATTTGCGCACTAGATCAAGTAAATTCTAAATGGAAGTCCAAGTTTACTTTTTCCTCGTGAACTACATTTTTTTAACCAAGATCTTACCTCCAGATTTAGTGTGATCGCCAGAAGGACCAGTGCCTATTGAGCTGGTACTACCGACATTCCGACTCCACTGTATCTGAGCTGCAGTATCAGAGACCCAGCCGCAGAAATCTTTCTCAAAGTCACAGTTGATGGCACCAGTTGGAGTTCCCGTGACTTGAGTTGGCCTTTGGCTCGGTTGTGCGGAAGGAGCAGCGTTTGCTGGGAGGACTGTTCAGAAAACAGATAACACAAATACAAAGGCCCATGCGTGAGCATCATCAGTTCAAATTAATTCAACATGAGACCTGATGAGATTATGAAAGAAGAAAGGAGAGGGGATGAGATGATATTAGATCAGATGAGATCCAGTTAGATCAGACCATGTAAAAAGGAGACAGCATCAGATTAAAAATCATAAGAAAAGAATAAGCCACACAAGATGAAATCAATGAGACTAGACAATGTTAACACATAACACATCCGGGACCGCCCACGAATTCCCTTACGTGCTCCACCCTGACTCGCCCGGAACCGCCCGCGCTGACCTAGTGTCTTTAGAAACGAAGTCTTGCCTTCACGAGACTCTGGGGCCGAGATTTTGATTTGCATAGTTATTGCAAAAAGTTTCTTCTTTCATTTGATACCAAAACTAAATTTTTCGGGCCAGTAGTTTAAGTATTAGAGCCGACCAAAGTGCGATCGCGTTACCGACACTTCGAAGGTGTCTTGACTTGTTGAAAAGAGACACAATTGAGTTTGAAAAAGGAAATAACGATGGATTTGAGCAAAAACAAGCATATGACAAATCGGAAAACTCAGATTTTGATGAAAACATTGTAGCAAGAGTCTGGGGCGATTCAGATTGAATAGACATAGAAAACTTAGAATTTAGACCTAGGGCGCGACCGTGAGGCTGAGAGCAAGAGTGACAGGTTGGACACCCCGATTGAACTAAGTAAGAACATTTCCAACAGTTTGTGCATACATTAAGTTATATATATTTCTGAAACTACATTCATTTTTCTTTTTTTTAACTTTTATTTTTTCAGGATTTTGGGAATTTGTTTAGTATTTTTTTATTTTGTTTTTTAAACGCTTGTATTCACGGGAGGTGGGTTTCTTCCCCTTGCTTAGGATCTAACAATGGACTTCCCGTCCAGACCCTTAGGGTGTAATGTGTTAAATTTATCCATCTACACAACCTGAAACTTATTTTCTTTTATTTCGGGTGAATGGCTTTTATTCTGGCAGAGTACAACGTCTAGGCCTAGCAAGTTTCATTTTGATAGGCATTTTTGTTGCCACGATACATCTCAATTCTAAATTTTAGCTTTTTTATTAGCAACACTCAAAGGTCAATGTGCTGAAAAATTTAGAAAAAGTCACAATTTTCAGCTAGAAATTTTTGTTCATACTTCAAAAACATTTTTACTGCAAATTTTTTATAAGCCATGTGGGAGGAATTCTATTATCTTTTCCCATTAATTCAAACATTTGATACTGACTTTCTCAGCTAACAGACAGAGCACACAAAAATAAATAAAAGCTAAAAAAAACTACATTTGCAAATTGACTTGATGAACATAACTTACTTGCACAAGAAGAATCTGTAAAGCTGACATCATCAAAACCTATGCCTCCAATAGGATTAGTTGTTTTTGCTCCGTAAACTCCCTCAAAGACAACAGTGTAATCATGGCTGATCACAGGAATTGGCAGTCTGGCTTGTTGCCAGTTTGAGGCTTGGTTGGTGTCCTTGATTTGCCATACATACTCATCTTTGTTGATATCTGGAAATAGTAAGTGGCTTTAGTAAGAGTCTTACGTTACTTGCAATACAAATGCATCATACAAGGGCCAAAGATTAGAGATGTTAGTTTAGTTTTTAGTAAGTGCTTTACGGCACTTGCAACACAATAAGGTCATATAAGTGCCGAAGATTAGAGGTGTTACAAGAGAGTAAAAAAACACTAAAAAGAAGGAGGGGAGATAAAGACGATGGATGGAAAAGAAGAAGCAAACCACACCAGAGCACCCGCCAACCATCCACATTAGAGATGTTACTAGACAGTGACATACAAATAAAAGAAAGAGGATAGATAAGGACAATAGATGATTGATGAGAAAGATGGAGTAGACCGCATCAGTGCACCCACCAATCACCTACTAAAATAGTAATGCCAAACTGTGTTTCAATTGTTATTACCAGTCTGGATTGGGTTTCAATAGAATACTATGTAATAATATAATACTACAAAGACCAAATTCACCAATCACAAAGACAAGGGCTTCATAGTTCTGACAAGAAATATTATTGTTTATTTTATATTTTGGAAGCAAAATTAGATTGTTTACACCAGTACTTTTCCCTATTTAATGAGGGAAACAGTACTCATACCTGCATGTATGTATGCATACACCCGCACACATGCACGCACGCAGGCACGCACACACACACACACACACACAAACACACACATACACACACACACACACACACACACACACACACACACACACACACACACATGACAGCTCCTTTCTAGGTTCACATAAAAAATCTAATGATAATAGTTGCATATTAATATCTCATATATACGTTCAACAGCATGCTCTGTGCACTTTACAATCACTATTACCCCATCAGTTCCTAGAACACTCAGAAACAATCTTTTTCTCTTATGTGGCTTTGGTGGCCTAGGGGTTAAGCTCTCGGACTCACAACCCTAAGATCGTGGGTTTGAATCCCGTCATAGGCCTGACATTGTGTCCTTGGAAAAGGCACTTTACACAAATTTTCCTCCCTTCACCCTAGTGAGAACGGGTATATATCTGGCTATAGACAGCAAAGATCTTTGTCAGTTCGGTAGTGTTTTAGTGCGTGTAATTCACAGTTTGCACTGTATGCTCCGAGGGAGGCTGAGAATGTTTCTGAGTGTTCTAGGGTCTGCTGGGGGGTAATAATATGCTGTGGGTCATGGATATGTGCTATATAAATACAATTATTATTATTATTTATTATTATTATCATTATTATTATTACTTTTATTACTATTATCAATATTATTGTCATTATTATTGATATTTTATTATAATTATAATTATTATTATTATTATTGTCATTATTACTGTTATTATTATTATTATCATTATTATTATTATTATTATTATCAAAACGCACTGACCTGGGATTCGGATCCGGATGTTCAGAGTGGATTGCACATTTCCAGTCATGAAATACCAAAAGGACATGCAACGTCCTGAGGGAGATGTGGGTTGGAAAGTCTCGCTAATCAACCAGGCTTTCTTCCCAGTTGACAGGCTACTGTTACTAGTAAAGAACATATAGAGACCTGAAAAGGGAAAAGATGCATAAGAAGAGAAACCTGTCTACTAACTGTTAAAATGACACTTCAAACCAAAAGAAAAGAAAGAAAAAGAGGCACACACAGATAACGTAGCATTAATCTGGGTTTTTTATGGTTGAAGTGTGCACCTTTGATAGAGCTTTGGGAGAGTGTAAAAAAAAAATGTTTGGACTTGAGCTGATTGCTTGCAGAAACGATGAAAAGAAAGATCTATATAAATTTTGTGGAGCCCTTTATTTTTATGAGGTATATTCCACATAGCACAAAAACATGTTTCCTCTTGAGTGATGGCATAACAGAATGCAAGTGACACCAATAGTTCTCATGTTTTTCTTTTTCGCTACTTATTTCCAATAGTGAAAGTGTGAAATAACAATACCACAAGTAGTTTCAACAAATGTATTGCAGATGAACAGCACAATAGAAAGTAGTAAAATGTGGCGAGATATAAGGAGCCCTATCAACATAGGGGTAGAGATAATACAGGTGTCTTTTAAAATCTCGGTCCGACGTTGTGTCCTTGGGAAAGGCACTTTACACGAACTTCCTACTTGGCTCAGTCCTATCGGAGATGGACGTTAAACTAGGAGGTCTCACCCCTTAAATAACCTAATAGTGTTGATAGGGGCGTTAAACCCATACCATTTCACCTTTTTTTAAAATAATGCAACCAAAAGCAGCAAGGAAAGCGATTACTGTGTAGTTTAAGTAACTCAAAATCAAGATAGTAGGTGACATTATAATCAAGTTTGTGACCTGTATTTGTTGAAGTGGAATGATCAGCGGACGGCGTTTTCTTGGCAGGGTCAGGGCGTTCATTACTCCAGTCTGAGTCATCCCCAGCGGCAGCGTTTGTCCACGTACATAAGCCTTTGTCAAATGCACATGTACCTTGGAAAAGGGAAAATAAAGGCAATTATTTATTGGCCTAATAATCGTTCTTATAAATCTGAATTTGAGGAGCCTTTGTCAAAAGCATGCATACCTTGTAAATGGGAAAGCGAAAGTAAATACTTGTACCATTCTTTAAAATCCAGAGTTGAGGAACCATTGACTAATGTACAAATACCTTGTACAATTACAAATAGAAGCAAAAACTATTCTTCAGTGTTTGAAAATGAGGAGCCATTGTCAAATGCAGAAATTCTTTGTAAAAGTGAAAGAAAAAAAAAAGAAGTAAATGTTCTTTGTCAAAACCTGAAGTTCATAAATGCAAACAAGCTGGAGCTCTCCATCATCAAAATGTTCAAAAGTAAGATAGCTTCAACCAAAAATCACCCTGCTGGATAGCATCTGGACTGTTAGGACTTTGTATATTTCCTAAAACATTGTTCCAAAGCTATGAAAACTATAAAATTTCCACTCCATAGAGGTTGCGCACGTCTTCAGGAGAACAAGATGGTTCATGATTTTGCCTACTTGATTTTATAGTTCTAGCCAACACAGAAGCAAAGTCCTCACCAGGATTAGGACAACTTCCTGCAGTTATCTTTACATCATCAATGGCAATGTCTCCCTGGTAGCTATTGCCTCGAACCCCTTGAAAAACCACCTGCAAAGAAAAAAAGATTTATATTTACCTTCCTCAATGATTGAGTAAGTTTGGGGTTTTTTTTTGGGGGGGGGGTTGGTAATTGTTTTACGGCACTCTCGACGAGAATAAGGTAATATGAGTGAGTGTGAGTAGGTCTACGTACTAAATCATTATTTTAAAGCTTAAAAAATACCCTGTGCTACAAAGTCTCTTCTTTTGATTGAAAAAATATGTCCTTATGAAATTACCATTCATAGCTAAAAGTAGAAGATTAATAGAGATTTCTTTTTATCCAAACTTTTTCAGTTTTCAGCTACAATCACTACTCCTCTCATCAAACAGTATACAAAATATCAGTCAACTATCAATTCAGGACCTTTACACTCTAAGGTAAATATCTTTAGAAAATACTAACCCAGAAACTGAAACCATGAATTTAAACATCTGTATGTTATACAGGCAAATACACTTTCATGTTTTGGCAAAGTTCACCAAACATGGTACAGTCTAGTAAACCACTATCTGTCGATATACTAAAAAAACAACAACAAAAAACAATATGAATTAAACACAGTATCTCAACAAAGTGAAGTGTTCCTATTCTTATGTCTGTCCCCCGTGGTTTTATGCACCCCGCAAAATTCAGCAAAATTTGACAATTTTTTGCATAATTTCTGATTATTCTCCTTCATTCTTTGTTAAAATTAACAGAATCACATAATTTCACATTTTTGGGCTCATTTTGCCTAATTTCAGAATTTTTCTTGCATAAAACAATGGGGACAGTTATGTTGTTAACTCATTCGCTACGCCGAGCCGTGGGGGGGGGCGGCGCGAGTCAAGTGCCGTCAGTACGCTATGCGCCCCCGGCGGCTCGAGAACCTATCTTCAAATTTAGCTTAGATTCTATTCCAATCCACATATCCATGTTAAAATAAAGGTCATAATACAATGTTCCCTTCCGGGTCAAGCATTTCCACTGAAAATCGGAAATTTAGAATCAGTTTTGAAACGCAATTTCGTAGTTTATTCGACCTTGTTTTATCGCGATGCCAAAATTATAGCCCGGACACCAGTCTTAGTAATTTTACACAACAAAATCTATCATTATTTTGCCCACTAAAGAAATGTACGACTCTTTTTTATAATATTGATACGATTGGACTCATATTGCCAGTGCACTGTTATTGAGAAATCAATATTTTTGAGTGCTAGATCTAGGTCTAGATCTAAATTGTCAAAATATGTTTTTTCTCCCCAAAATCACTACTTTTTGATAAAATTACACAAAAGTGCCTCTCAAGACATGTATAGGTTTATTCCAAATGCAATTCTGAATAATTCCATATAAGATACGAGTGGGTTTTTCCTGTTTGTGATCGTTTTTCAAGATTATTTTTTTTTTTTTTTTTTTTTTCAATATCGGATGTTATGTTCAAAATGTACAAATATTATGGAATGTAGGTAAATAACTGCAAACTTTTCAATATTTTCCAGTTCTATATTCATTTTTGGTTATTTTGATGCATAATTTGACTAGGTGCAAATATATTTTTTGAGTTTCAGCAAAGACTATTAATTTTTTATTTTCAAATTTCATCCGCATCTAATCAAAATTGTGTTGCATAATCGTCTCTTACAGGAACCAAAGTTGAAAAATACATAAATAAACATTACAGATGTATTCTACAAACCATACTGAAAATATTGGTGTATAATACGTTGATATTTATTTGAATTTGTGGCCACAAAGACCTTTTAACTGCCCACTAGTCATCATCTCATTCGCCCTCCCGAAAAAAAATTCGTCCACAAGCCGAAAATAATACGTACCGAATGAGTTAAACACTGCTGCTTTATCAGACTTCACTTATGTCAAGATCTATTTACAGTCAAACACAGGAAACTCGAATTCGTTGGGGATTGGAAAAAGTGTTTGAGATTTCCATAATTCGTCACGTCCGTGAAAGCCCAAAATACAAATAAATAGAGAGAAAATCAAGGGAGGTAAAAAAGTACACTAAAACAATTAACATGGTTAGCTCCCTTGATGAACGTGTTGATGGTGTGAAAGCAAGAAGATGAATGAGAGTGGAAAGCAGAAAATCTCACGTGTGCACAACCGACTCCCACGTCATTCCTTTCCTCTCATTTCATTGGCTTTCAGAAAGTTACGCCTCTCGCCATCTGCAAAGCGCGTGTCCCACAGCATGATTGCACGCGTGGCAAACCAGTCATGTGGTGCGGTCAGCATCAACCCCCAAACCCCCCTTCCCCCTCCCCACTTCCTCCAGCCTCTCGTGGTGAGACAAGGACCCCGTTTTAGCTGTAACAGTAACAAAGAAACACCTACTTGCAGCCAGAAAGGCTGTAGAGCCCAGTCTTTAGTTGAGAATGCGAAGTGGATTCGCTCGAGATTCGAGTGTAACGTGTTCCGAGTGGTCAGGAACTCCATTAAGTCAATTCAAAGAAAACATAATGACTGAAACGGGACTGAGCATTGTGTTCGATATACCCAAGAATTAGTGATTTTCGTGTTCAAGATTCGTGGACTCTACTGTATTAGATTCACCTGATATGAACTGGTCAGTCCTGCTGTAGGGAGAGTCACTTGACCAATAATCCATCTCTGGCCGTGGTCTCCAGTCTCATTGTACAAGGATGGGCCAAGAGAACCTCCAGTCTGGAAAAAACAAAATCATAGACATGAACAGTTTCGCAACAAAATGCAACATACAACCATTTTTCCGGTTTTAAGAAAACTGAAAATTCCTAGGCTGTTCTTCACCTATTTACTGAATAAACTTGAGCAGCTTGGGTTTTAGGGTCCCTTTACATGTACAGTTCATTCATCAACAAACTGATAGTTTAATCGACCGACGCTAGATCTGGGTCTTCGTTAAACAGACAGACGATCGACGAGAGAAGTTCCATTTAGACGTACTGTTTTTTTATCGTTAAAGTTAAACCAAAAAAAATTAACTTGGTAATCCGGCATTAAATTGTGTTCCCTTCGTGAATTTGACTAATTTTGGATCGCTGATCATAAAACTCTTCTTTTTTTTTTTCTATTTGACCAATATTTAGGAAAATTTTGGAAAGCATTTTCAGCTCCGCCTGGGGCAACATCAAAGAAGTCGTGCCCTCGTCGTCATGCCTTCTGTTCGCCGGCCAGCAAATATCTGGTGTTGCCAGATATCAGGAGGTTGGACTGAGAACCCTTCGATATCAAGAGGATTGCTCATTTCCAGGCTCAGTTTTACCGGGAAGTTGACAGGATGCTGACCATCCTTTCGATATCCTACAGTTTGCAGATCAATAAAATGTACGTGTAAATGGGGCCTTAGAGTAAATGTGATGTAAGGCTTAGCTGATATTCGTTAATTCATTAAATCAACGTTAGATTCAAATCCTTTAAACTGATAAGGTCTCCACACATTTCTGAGAAAGTGTGAAATTTACACTTTCATGCTATAGGAAAGGGAGAGAACTGCCAACAAACTTTCTTCAAACACAAGCAAAGTCATGTGACTTGAGAAAAGAACTTGATTGACGCACAGAGGATATGTCACGGTTTGTCAAAAAATGTCAACCGCTTTTGTAAAAAAAAAAAGGTGTAACTTTCTGCAGTTCACGAAAAAGGAAAAATCACATTTTGAGAAAAAAATAATTTAAGAACCAACCAAACATTATTTTTAAAATGACCAATTCAAGTTACACATCTCACATCCTAAGAAAACATATTGATCAGATTGGTACGCAGAAATGAAAATAACCTCATATTTATTATCATAGTTCAGCATAGACCCATATTTGAACTTGATGACTCTGTCTTTGTACAATTTTGTAAAAAGAAGGAAAAAAAACAAGTTTTCCATTTATCACAAGACATTTACTTCATAAACATCACAAAATGAAAAGAAAAAAGTTACCTTTAAAAAAATATCCAGCGTTCCAACATTTGATCCATACATGTAGTAGTAGAACGTCAAGCAAGCTTGTACATTGCCAGCATTTGAAAAACTTGGGGTAAGGAATAGAGCTTTCTGTCCAGCATTACCATACGATGCATCAACGAAAGCATAGTGCCCTGAAAAAAAGCAGTAAAATAGAAACTCCCGGGTTTATTGAGTGGCAAAAATATGTAAAGGGAGCTGGGTCTGAATACCATTTCACATTCAAAAAAACAAAAAAGGTAGCCTTCTGGTTTTTTTAATTAGGTGTTTTTACGCCCCCATCCACACAATCTAGATCATTTAGGAGACAGGCTTCCTGCCTGTCAGGGTCAACCCAGGCTAAAAGGGATATATTACATTCCAGGAGAAAGACCAATATACTCAACAAAAATGCTCTCCATTCGGTATTTAAAGTTACGGCTCCAGCGAGAGACAGTGAATCATCTAACTGCTAACCACAAACATCAGTAAATCGTAGTATGGAATAAAAAAAATTAACTATGGGAACAGTAAGCCCGAACAGCGGTAATAGCATTTAAAAATTCATGTTGCTCCTCTATTACAGCTGCCAGCCATCAAAAGCGGATGAGAGGGCAGGGGGGGGGGGGGGGGGAGGCAATAAACATTTTCAGTTGGTAGGAAATTTTGAATTTTGCCCGGGTGGTGGCCAAAAGCCTACTCTTATTGATTTTGGACAACCAAGGGACCTTTAGCGTACACAACTTGCACACGGGACCCCCCGAGATTTTTTGCCCTTGTCCGAGAAGGCTAGGTGTAGATCTTTCCTACCAGAAGATCAGGGGTGTGGCTGAAAGACAGCAGTAAGAAAAAGCTAAGGAGTGGCACTTGAAAGGCTGCAGAAAGAGTCAGGAGCCCAGAGGAAGTGCAAAGGAGGTGAGTGGGAAAGAAAGTGGAGACGAAAGCAGATGACAGAACATTGCTAGAGAGCAGGAAAGGAGGTGAAAGTGAAAAGAGACAATTTTAGAAGAAAAATTTCCGTTGCTATCCGGATTCGAACCCAGGACCTATTGAACACCTTAACCTCTGGACCACAAGAGCCATCAGTAAGTGTTTTGCGGCACTTGCAACACAAGAAGGTCCTACAAGTGCCCAAGATTAGAGACCATCAATGATTTATTTATAGAGGCACCAGCCATCCATGTCCAGGTGCTGTTTTAGCCTCAAGATTAGAGGTGTTGCAAAAGAGTTACAAACACAAAAAAGAAGGAGCAGGGGCAATATAGACGACACAGGTTTGATAGGAAAGAAGAAGCAAACCACATCAGAGCACCCACCTATCACCCACTAACAGCAATTAACTGTGGTGTAGTGGTTAGGCTCTTTGCTGTTCCTCACAGAAAAGGTGAGTTTAATTCCCAAACAGGTATGTTTTTTCTTAATCGAGTATTCCCAACTGTCAGTTGAGATGCTGTGCCCCATTAAGACCTTGTTGGCCCCGATAAGTAGGGTTTAGCAGCAAATCTCCTAAATTACCTGACATGTGCCGAAGGAGCATAAAGCACAGACAGTAAGGCCCATATTTATTTTGATGGCAAACGTCTACCAGGTAAATGTAGGCTCACAGGAAAGGTGATAAAAAAGCTTTACTTACAGCAGTCACTGATACTGATACTTACTTTGGAAGTATTTCTTCTGCATAGTTTGTTTTTAGTTTGGGGTTTTTTTTGGGGGGGGGAGTGGGGTCAGATTTACTTTTGGTTATTCCAAGCACTAAACAATCATCTTAAGAGCACATACTTTCCTGTAACTCAAGTAAACAAGACACAAAATTGTCCGTCCTTTATCAAATGTCTTCTTACAGTAAAATCAAAACAAAAGTCTTCCTAGCTCTGCGCACTTTATACATTCTAAAATTCTAAATAAAAAAAATTCTTACCCATGATTGTCCCATAAGTATGGTCGTTATTAGGTCCGGTAGCATAACTACCAGAAGTGTGGGAAGTCAATCGCCAAGAGTACTGTTGTGTATTTGCTGCATCATTTGTGTAGTTACACATTTTGGAACCATCCTCAAAGTCACAGGAGTTTATCACAGATCCCGGGGAAGGCAAGCTAGTAACACCACTGGCCGTCGATGTGGCATCTACAAAAACAAACCAGTATGAAAATTATACAATGTCCCAACAAAATGCCTGCAGCTGTTGTTATGCAAGGTACAAACATGATCAAATTTATGATCAATCAGCCTAAAATTTTGGTAAAAAAGAAAACAGTATAAATTATTTAACACTTTGCAGTCACACAACAACCAGTACAAAATACCCCATCTGGTCACCCAGCCACAGACTTCTCGGGCCTGGCACAGAACTGCCTCAGGTGACCTGAATGGATAATCTTCAAGTGACCGCAAAGTGTTAAATCACACAAAGATGGGCGTGTTGTGAGAGATGTAATAGAAAAGATTTTATGGCTCCTCACTAAAGTGGCATAGTCCTTCAGAAAAAAAATATCAAATCAGGGGATTTGCCTCTTTGAAAAAAAAATCGTCTTGCGCTGAAACAAATACCGAACCCTTATAACATCAATAAAGCTGTGCATTCTCTATCAAGCATTCCATTCAGAATAACCCTAAAGAGGTATCTCTTTAGATACATAATAATAATCAATGAAAATAACATTAGTACAGTGCAAATTCCCGCTCAACAGCAAGCTCTGTGCACTTTGGAAACTGTATTATTACCCCAGGAGACCTGATAGCATTCTGAAGCAATCTCAACTTCCTGGATGTATACAGTGTAAGCTGCTATTCTATAGGCACTAAAACACTAAAATACTAACAAGACCTTTCACTGTCTACAGCTGGGTACCCATTCACACCTTGGTGAAGCAAGGAAACTTTGTGTAAAGTGTCTTTCCCAAGGACACAATGTAGGGCTGATTTTAGGCTCGAACCCCTAAACCCTCACCTCACAATTACAGTCCAGTATTCTAACCACAAGACTACCGATACCATTGATGATACTTACTAATTCAGAGTCATTGGTCTTGCTCTTCTGATTTCAGTTTAGTAAAGTAAAAGTTTTATGGCACTCGCAACTGCATAAGGTCATTCCTGAATTCAGCTTGGTATAATGTTTCAAAAAGAAGAAATAAAATGCCTGTAAAGCTCAAGTTTTCTTGCAACACAATAATGTCCCTCACAAAGCATGCCAAAGCAGGACACAGTTCACTTACCAGCACAATAGCCATCCACCAGCATGATATCGTCAATGGCAATGTCTCCAGTGTAGCTAGTACCTTTCTTCGCTTCAATTACAAGCTGAAAAAAGTAAAAAGCAACTCGTCAGTTTGAAATGAGATAAAACATTTTAAGTAGAACTTACCACATGTTTATCCTAACACCAGTCAGAGGCTGGGCATAGATGGTTATTTGTGTAAACCAAGCTCACAATGTCTAGCCAAGTTGAGACTCAAAGCCCCAAACCCGTTACCTCACGATTATGAGTCAAGTAGCCTGTGGAAGCGACCACTTCCCATTTTCTCCCTTGCTTTTTAAAAAATATTATTATGAAAGACAGTGTATGAGACATCCACTTGTCTAAGACGGCCACTTTTCTCCTCAACAGTGAGTGGGTTTTTTGGGGGGTTTTTGGGGGGGTGGTGGTTTGGTGAGTGTTTTATGGCATTCACAATTGCGTAAGGTCATATGAGCGCATGGGACACATTTAACATTTTCAGTTGGTAGGAAATTTTGATTTTTGCCTGAGTGGTGGCCGAAGCCTACTCTCATTGATCTTGGACCACCAAGGGATCATTAACGTGTGCAACTTGCACACGAAACCTCCGAGATTTTTCGCCCTTATTCGAGAAGGTTAGATGTAGATCTTACCTACCATAAGATTAGGGGTGTGGCTGAAAGACAGCAGTAAGAAGGAGCTAAAGGGTAACAATAGAAAGGCTGCAGAAAGAGTCTGAAATCCACAGGAGGGGGCAAAGGAGATGAGGGGTGGGGCAGAAATAGGAGACGAAAGCAGACAAGTGGTATCTACATATATCTTTTTTAAAATATAAATATATAATATACACATTTTATATTTTATATA